CTCCAGCATTCCCTGCCCTGCCGCATAGCATGTCTGAAGAAATCCTATTCCTTATTACTGCTCTTCGAGTCACAGCAAAGGGCTGTCAACTGCACGTTCCAATAAGCAGTTTCCATGAGGGACATTGGGAGCCACGGGGCCTCTTCACTTCGAGCCTTTTAATTACTTGATGAACTTCTCTCCGGGTGGGGCGGTAGGAGCGAAGTTAAGGCCACGTCTCCTTCCCTGACGGTCCCTACTCTCTTCCGAGCACTCGCTCCCAGGACGAGGCAGTATTAGACATCGGAATTAGCGTTTTCCGTCCGAGGGGATTTAGTGGTTTCAAAAGAGAGTAAGATTGTTCGCAGTTAGAACAGGCTTAGACCGACAATATCCCATTAACACAGCACATGGGGTACAGCCCGTGCGAAACCCCGGCACTACTCAGATAACAGTAAAACACACAGGAATGGGGGCGGAAACAAGAAGGGCATTGTTCCCGCTGCCGGACAGGTCTGGCGCTCCACACAGGACCTGCTGTTGATAGAAAGCTGCCGGAAGCTTTCTGAGGTTCATTCAAGGCCCCCTGCCAGAGCTGGTGATGTAAAAGGTAGGGTTGTAACAAAACTTCTCATTCTTTCGGGTTGTAATGTGTGGTATTAACATGGAATATCTTTAGAGGCCTGGCAGCCCTTTTCTTCAAGACGTGGGCTGAAGAAGTCGCTGGCTTTTACTTGCGCCGGTGCACTTCTCTTGACGTCTTGAACTGAACGACGAGTGTGGGAACTCGAGGGCAGCAGGAGGAAGAGGCCGATGGCAAACATCTCAGAGCCACCTTCTGGGTAGTGACTACGGCCATGGTTCGGGGCTGCGCGTCTCTTCTCCCTAACCATTCCTTTCCAGGGCAGACCAGAAAGACCAAAAAGGTTCGGTCGGGGACGACAGTGGACTGGCTCTGTGGGTGGCCTTCGGGTTTGACACGGTGTGAGTTGGGAGGCCTTGCCTAGAAGGGTAGTGACCCCCTGGTGATGAAACGGATGAGGGCTGGTGTGGGGGGCCTCGGTGGGGACCTCACTGTGCCCCTTCCTGGCTGTGTGACCTTCAGCACGTCACCTAGCCTCCCCAAAGCTGCCGCAAAATGTTGAGAGGTGAAAAGTAGAGACTGGGCATTCTGAGTACTAGCCTTTTTTTTTTTTTTTTTTTACCATGTGTCTTAGTCCATTTGGCTTGCTCTTATAGCAAAATACCACAGACTGGGTGGCTTATAAACAACATAATTATATTTTCCATAGTTCTGGAGGCTGGCAGTCCGAGATCAGGGTGCCTGCATGGCCAGGTCTCGTCACAGCCCGCTTCCAAGTTCAAAAATGGCCGCCTTCCCACCGCGTCCTCATGTGGTGGGAGGGGCAGGCGGCTCTCTGGGGCCCCCTTGTAGAGACACTGACCCCCTTCACGGGAATGGTCTCCCTCATGACCTGATCACCTCCCACAGGCCCCACCTTCTAACACTGTCACGCTGGGCATTGGGGTTCCAGCATGGGAATTTCGGGGGGAGGCGGGGTAAACACTCAGATCACAGCACGCTGCACAATAATGGAGGTCATTCCAGTACCACCTTTTGTTTGGGCAGTTACCAATTTCCGATCATCTTATTTGAGATGTATAAGCACAGTCTTGAACTCTTAATTAAACAATTTAAAAATTATTATTTTCTTTAGGAAATGTAATATATTGCTATTTTAGAAAATACCAAAGCATTGAGCACATCCTCTGAATTTGACCCAAGTTCTAGAGAGAATTTGACAAAAAGGGAGAAAACTCCCAAATGATTTTGCAGGTGTGAGGGAAGAGGTTATCTGGCCTTTCAAGTTTTTGCTAGACGCAAATCCAACACGTCTGAAAAATGGAGCTGGCTTGAATTCTCTGAAACATTGCTTGCCTGTATGTAAGCCTGTGGACTGTACGTTGGCCGCTGTGAGTAAGGGTACACCTGTGGTATCGGGGGCCCCCAGTGCAGACTTGAGAACTAGGAGGTGGGGGTTTGAGTCGCAGTTCTGCCAGATTTTAGCTTGTCACCTTGGGCCACTTAATCTCTCTGAGACTCAATTTTTTTTTCATTAAAAAAAATCTCAGAAGATTATGCTTATCTTGTAAAGCCATTGAGGGGATTAAAGGAGGTGACAAACGTAAAGCACACAGCAACACTTTGTCACCTAGTAGGTCCTTGAGACATTAAACTACTTTAATATGCTATTTGTATAGTTACATAATGTAACCAAATAACATCTACTATATAAGACATTCATATGAGGTTATAGTTATATAATGACATTTTTGTCATATATTGATGTGTTCTACAGTAATATCTCACCATTTGTAAATGGCAGTATTGCGGAGATTCCTAGGACACTGAGATCACGCTCCCCGGTAGCTTCCGCACTGTTCACACAGTGGCATCGCTTGCCCTTCCCCGCAAACATCATCTTCTGCAGAAGCAGAACAGCTGAGGCTGCAAAGCAGGGGAGGCACTTGCTGAAGCAGGGCCCATGGTCCCCAAGCCCTAGCATGCTTCCCCTTTAGCTACTCCTGCTCACCACGTGGGGACACCCTTGGAACTGAGTGAAAACAGCTGCCCTGGGCCAGTCTTCATTCTTCTGCAAGGTCTCAGGGCGCTCGGGTAGAGCTAAGGCCGGAGCCCACGTCTGCGGCCGTGAAGCTGGACTTCTCCTAGGCACTGCGCGGTGTCCGCTGATAGGATGGATTACAGGGTGCTGATCCCTCGGCCTGATGGGAATTGCAGCCCATTTTCCTCTGTCTGGCAGCTGTCCCCAGCATAGAAGCTGCTTCCTTAACAGACTGCTGGCTTTGGCCCTGGGTTTCCTGGTGGCCACCCTAAGGCTTTATAGTTGCTAAAAAGTGAAAAGGAAATCACAACACTCAAGTACAAAGCTGGGGCTCACATAGCTGGCATCCGTCAGTGCAGCCTGAGCGGTGGCTGTGTGTCTGTGGCTGTTGCACTAGCAGAGATTTTCGGGCAATGGAAACAACTTCGTTTAAGGCAGTCGGGTTCCATTTCTCCATACGGCTGTCAGTGTCAAGGTGGTGAGCCCTTGGCTGTGTTTTTCATTCTGGGGCAGCCAGTGGACCTGGTTAGCAGGGGCTGTGGTCACTGACTGTTACAGACAAATCAGACTTTTCTGGCCTTGGGTTTTTGTTTTTTGTTTTTTTGTTTTTTTGTTTTTTTCAGTCTGGAAATGCTGTAATCCTTTTCTACAGAGTTCATCAGCCTATGTGGGTTGTGGTTTGTGCCATAAATGAGATGTATTGGGAAGCCTTTGATCATAAGATGAATACAAGAAGACATTATTATGTAAATGAGTAGATTTTTTTTTTTCCTGCAAGAAAAGTCAGGCCACTTCCTTGGCAGATGTGAGATGGATGGCCCTTTATTCCTGTCTTGCGTTAGAGACTCTTGATTCTCCATAGAAAAGCCGAAGTGGAAAAACACATGGCCAGGCCATGTTGGGATTTGGGGATGTCCCCATTTACTGTGTGGGGTCCCGTGGTGCGCCTGCATCCGCTGTCTGTGGAAGAGGCCTTGGGAGCAGTGTTCATAAATATTTGATTTGAAACTGATGGCAGTCACAGCACTGCCGCCGAGCCCCCGAGCCCCGCTCCAAAGGGAGGGGATGGTTTCCTGCTCGTTCTATTTGTCCTTCTCTCATTCCAAGGGCGCTGACAGCTCAGATCAGCTCCGTTGCTGAGTTTTTGCTGTGAGTTGTGACGCATGTGGCCAGGAATTTGTTAATGATAATAAAGTACCAGAGTTGGTGAATTATTTACTTTTACTCCCATGAGCAAGTAGATCCAGAATTGTCCTGATAATAGTAATAATCACCACAAACATCACACACCAGGCCTCTGCCAGACCAGCCCTTTCCTTACACCTTGTTATTAAATGGGAGAAACATTGTTAGTATCTGCACGTGAGATGAGGAAACTGAGGTTTAAAGAGGTGAAGTGGCTTGCCCAGAGTCCCACTGTAGAGCTGGAGTGTCACTTGTACTCACCAGCAGGCCGGGATGCTTTTGTGTGAGTGGAAAATAAGGGCGATTGGACTGGCCGTTAAGATCGAGATTTTCAGTGAACACGGGGGCAACAACTTAGAACCAGAAGCGGTGAAATGGTGGAGGTGGAACCTGCCACGTACGCCGGTGACTTTCCAGAGGAATGCGTTCCGTGTCTGGAGCGAAGGACTCCAAGTTCTTTAGCCCCGAGGTCTTCTAAGACTCAAGACTTAGGTATGGAAGATGCGACAAAGGACACGGTGCAGGAGGCTGCGTGCTCTTGGCAGGTCAGGGCCGAGCCTCATCTTGGTCAGTCCCTGCTTCTGCTGCCTGGGAGCGGGCCTCGTGCACACGGGGGCAGGCGGGAAGGAAGGAAGGAAGGAAGGAATAGAGGGAAGGAAGTTTGAATGCATGGAAGGAAGGAATGTTTGAATTGAAGGAAAGAATTGAGGAGGTGTATAGTAAGAGAGAAGGATAAATTAGAACCAGCATGAGATAAAAGAAAGAGATACATAAGAGTTTTCAACTTTCGCACAAGGCATCCTTAGTGAAAGGTCGCTACTTGTTGCTGTTTCCCATACACCCTCCTTGCACCCAGAACGCAGCCGTATGTTCATTTAGCGGATGGCTTTGACCAGATGCCGGGGCTAAGTGAGTAAGACCTGGTCCTCCTCTCAGAGGGGGGAGTCTAAGATCTCAGGCAGCTATTCAAGCTGGTGACCTCGTTGCCTTATCCCCAGTGGAACCCTGACCGTACCTCGTCCTCACCCGAGGGCGCACGTCTCATCTCTGAGCTCACGGCAACAAGGGGGCCCTGTGCGATCTCCGTCCTCCTTCGCCAAAACCTCGTTTTCCCTGTTTCCTACCTTCCTATGAAGCCTTTGAGGTTTTCGTCACGTTTAATGGAATGCGATCATCTCGCATGGAATGACAGTATTTTTCTTTTTTAACCAGGATTGACCGTAAGATGTCAAATGCTCACACCAGCTACAAACTGGACGAGGCGCAGGCTATAATGAATGAGCTCCGGACCATCAAGAAGGCCATTTGCACAGGCGAGAAGGAGAGGCGGGACCTGATGCAGGTAGGAGGCCAGGGCTCTTCACGGCCCCGTGCACCTGTCTGCCACTTGTCTCTCTTTCCTTCCTTTAGGATTGAAAGCACATTCTATATTTATTACATGCACAATTCATATGTATTCTAAGACATACGCGTGTATATAATATTATGTATGCATATATCTTTTATGTGTATGTGTACGTATATATTTAAAATAACTCATGTGAGTTTCCTAGGGCTGCCAGAACACAGTACCCCAAAACAGGGAGCTCAGAACCAAAGAGACTGACTTTCTCAGAATCCACAGGCTGGAAGTTTGAAATAAGGCATCCGCAGGGGGGCGCTCTCTCTGAAGGCTCTAGGGGAAGCCCCTTCCTGCCTCCCCCAGCTCCTGGCGGCTGCCGGCGCTCCCAGGCTTGTAGATGCATCGTTCCAGTCTCTGCCTTCACTGTCACATGGTGCTCTCCCTGTGTCTCCGTGTCTAAATGTTCTCTCCTTATGGGGACACCGGACATTGGGTGAGACCCCAGTCTCATGCAGTATAACCCCGTCTTCACTTGATTCCATCTGCAAGCACTCTGTTTCCAATAAGCTGTAATTCATAGGTTCCAGGGCTTAGGACTTGAACACATTTTTTTGGAGGACACAGTTCAAGCCGCACCAATGGGTGATACATTCGTAGTGTTCAATAATCAAAATAATTTAAAAAGTCAATGATAGGGAGTCTTGCTCTCTCCCCCTTCTCGCACCGCTCACGTTTCTGCGCATGCTCAGCTGCCCTCATGGACAGCGAGGACTGTGTCTGCTGGTCTGCGCCGGCTCCACCACACAACGGTCGGACCCGCCTTTTCCCTTCCCCACATCTGTGCGCACGGAGCTTCTCCAGCCTCACGACACAGCTGCATGACGTTCTGCCACGTGCAGGGATGTCATTATACGACTGGGATCGCTGTAGCTTTAGGTTGTTTGGCTTTTTTGCACCTTCAGTTTTTGTAGTTTCTCTTACTTTTAGAAAAAGTTGACTTTTTACACATGGACACACACTGGTCTTTTTACTCCACCCTGGCATGCATGCAGTTGTTTCTGTGACGACTTTTAGTTTTTTGCTCAGCACACTAGGTTCACTCCTAGCACCTGGTAGGCATTCGTGTTGATCCTGCAGAAGGATATGGGCATCAAAGCTCAGGTTCATTGGCCAAACGACTCAGGTACACACATAACTGCTTTGTAGGGTATTCCCTCCTAAGGTCAAGGACAGGTGGGACTTGCAGAGTGTCCCCAGGTGCTCTTTAAATGGCAGGTTCCTGAGCCCTACCCCAGGCCTACTGGACTGACTCTCTGGCCGAGGGGCCCAGAAACCGGTATTTTCAGGCACCCTCCCCCAGTTGTGAGAGGCAAATGGTCGGTTGTCAGCTTTCCCCCAGCCCTGGTAGGGAGGGAGGGCCGCTGCGGCTCACGGAGGCATCATCTTGTGCGCACTGCACGGGTGCTCTGTGGCTGCTCTCCGTCCAGTCCGAGCCTGAACCCCAGGTCCGAGCCGGGTGGTGCTCCACCGCGGGGACACAGAGGGCTCGCCGTAGGTGGTGGAGCTGGCGCCCGTGCCCTGGCCTTTGTGCAGAGCTGGGGCAGAGCCACCCAGTCGCCTGAATTGGGTTCTGCACTGTGGAGGCTGAAGATAGGATTTCTTGAAGAGGCTTCGGATCTCAGCATCTTCTCTGAGAAGCTCCAGGGCAGCATCTTCTAGTAGAATCAACTAAGCTGTTTTGTTTGTCTTATACGACCTGAACGATCCTGGCCCACTCCAGGGTGCCTTTGTCTGTACCCAGAGCCAGCTGCACGTGCTGGACTGCACCTGGGTGCCCTGGTGTCTGCAGAAATAGTCTTTTTAAAAAACGGTAGGCAATTGATTTCTCTTTAACCTTCACTCAGAGGGGTTCTCCGTGCCAGAATACATGCTTCCTCTGATTTTTGGCAAACTAACGTACGTATATGACATGACTTTTGACCATGTAGAATTACGCTTGAAAAATTAGGTTATAAAAATGTGTAAAAGTCGTCTGGAAGCTGTTTTCACCTTCCATGTGGTTTATAAAGACGTCAGGGTAGCGTTTGTCTCAGACTCATTTACTGATAGAACATTTGGGATGCGAAAGCCCCTCCCCTCGCTTTATTGAGGGACAGTTCAGAACGAAAATGGTACGAATTAAGGTGTACAATGTGATGATTTGATACGCATATAGATTGTGAAATGATTACCGCAGTAAAGTTCGTTAACACCTCCATCACCTCACATAGTACCTTTGCGGGGTGTGTGTGCGCGTGTATGCGTGATGGGACTTTTAAGACCTGCCCTCTACGCCAGTTTCAAGTACGCAGTGCAGTGTTGTTAACTGTCGTCGCCATGCCGTACGTCACTTCCCCAGGACGTAGTCATCAAACTGGAGGTTTGTCCCCTTGGACCGACGTCTCCCTGTCTCCCCCTCCTCCCAGGTCCCTGGCAATGGCAGCCACCCTCCTACTCTCTGGTTCAAGGAGTTTGGGGTGTTTTGGAGGGAATGGGGTTTGGTTTGTTTTTTAAGGAGACACAAAGTTTTGAAAACCGATAAGAATGGTACCACAGTTCTCGGTATTATCCACATGGTGCCAGGAGGACTCCATTGCTACCTGATTTAAATCGCTGAGCATTTCATTCCGGGTGCACGCAGTGCTGGACACTTCTCTCCAACCTAACGAGAACGGGGTTGGGGCGGCCGGCCCTCCGGGGAGGAAGCGGCCGCCCTGCAGCTGCAGTGCAGCCACTGCCGTTAGAAGGAGAGGCGCGCCACCGCCCCTGTTCACCTGGCTTGTTCGTCCCGCTGCAGAGCCTGGCCAAGCTCACTGACGGGTTCAGGAAGAACTTTTCTCTGACCGACCCGCAAGAGGCCCCTCATCGACAGGGCGCTGGTGGCGAGTCTCATCAGTTCTGCGATGCTGGGTCTCAGACCGACATCATCGGAGAGGTATGCTCACCGGGGGAGGACCGGGTGGGTCGGGAGAGAAGGGCTGCTTTTGGGTTGCCACCCCTCACTTGCTTTAATTTTCCACCTTCTCTTCGGCAATGTTTCGGCTTTTGTGCCACTCAGTGTGAAGAAACAAATTCGTTTCTCACATCCAGCTGTGAAGGCTCAGTGGCCTGGGATACAATTTAATTGCTTATGACCTCTAACTTTGTGATTCGGTTTTTTAAAAATGGCAGAATCCTTTTGAGAGTTGAGTTTAGATGATTTTTCTGACAGACGTGGGACTTTCTAGAGTATGAATCAGCTAACTTGTTCTGTAAAGGTCCAGATAGTAAATACCTTAGGCCTTGTAGACCATGCCGTCTCTGCCGCCCCTACACAACTGTGCTGCAGTCCCAAAGCAGCCATAGGCAATGTGTGAATAGTGGGTGGGGCTCCTTTCCAATAAAACTTTATTTATAAAAAGAGGTGGGTGGGCCGGATTGAGCCTTCCAGCCTTAGTTTGCTGATCTCTGGCTTAGACCAGTGATTTTTCAGGGCGTTGTGGCTGTCTCACCCTTGGGTTACACTTCGGTGCTATTTCTTACTCTTCTAAAACAGTGGCAGGAAATTGAATGGAATTAAAATTAATTTTGTTTGGGACTTGAAAGCATGTCATAATGCCCCCTTTTGATGATTAGTGAAACCTTGAGTTAGCCACAAAAATCAAGTTGGCAATCATCTCTGAAGCAGGGTGGCAAAGGCTGGAAAACACTGCTACTGTAATGCCGTTGGGTGACGTTTATCGTTTATTTGTTGTAAATGGAAAACCAGTTTGGATGGCTTCTTTTCCTTTGGGCTTCTTAAGTAAGGGTGAAATATCAATGGAATACAGAATGCCCTCCCTCAAATTAAATAAAAAGAAAAAAAAAGGAAGGGAAGAACCATTGACAAAAACCTCTGGGTTTTAAATAGTTAGCTAATATTTTCAAATTTTGGTAGGTAGTGCCTCTGTGAGGGAAATCTAATATTTTAAACAATGGCTTCTTATGTCCTGGATGTTCTGGACCGGCCTTATTCTCAGTTTTGCCCTCATTGTTTTTTGAAGTAGGATCGGGCATTTGTGACCAGGCATCTTTGGGTTAAAGACTAATGGTGACCATGAGAAGAATCTGTAAGTCAAAAATGTCTGGCATTTTTTGCCCAGAGATTTTGGCAGGAAGGAAGGAAGGAAGGAAGGAAGGAAGGAAGGAAGGAAGGAAGGAAGGAAGGAAGGAAAGAAGTACAGGACTCAGTGCGTTGCGTGACTCGGTCATTGCTGCTTATCGAGAGGTTAGAATTAGAATTTAGAGAGGCTTAACTCACTTGAGAGGAACAGGTTAGTTTGCAGGTTCTCCCCTGGCTTTGTGGAAACGCCAGGGGAGAGCGGCTGGTTACGCGGGAACTGGCGCGCTCGGCGAGAATCTACTGCACGAAATGGGACGGATTGCTCTGCCTTTGTACCAACTTTCATCAAGTAGTTCCACATTTCTTTTAAAACTTAATTTATTGGTCGGAGTGACACCATGAATAAGTACACTTTGACTGTTTTAAAAATAATCCACCGGTGTTGGGAAAGCAAAAGTCTCCCGGCCCCGCTGATCAGAGGTGGCCGCTGAGTAGCATTTGCTGTGTTTCCTGCAGACCTTTGAAAAGTGGAAACGGAAAGATGAATTCAGATATTCTCCCCTGTTGCTAAAAGTTGAAATGAATGTTCTATTTTGAAAATATGTTTTTAATGTGCTTTCCTTCCCCTCCCCCGCCCCACTCTGTTTTGGAAAGTTTGTCTTCGACGATAAAACAAGACTTGTAGACCGAGTGAGGCTCAATTGGCAGTACGAGGAAGCCAAAAAGAGGTAAGAAACTCCTTTTTCGAATCTTGCTTTCTGCTTACTCGCTTTCTCCCGTGCACAGACTTTCTGGCATCCCACTGTGTCATTGTCCACTTATTGGAAGGTAGTGCCTGACAGAATACAAAATAAAGTAGCTTCTTAATACGTATGAGGGGGGACCCCAGAAAACCAGAATTATCTTCTGGGGAGCGGGCCCCTTGTAGCCCAGGCTTCCCCCGCTAGGCAAGTGATCCAGAAACCCATCTGGATCAGCGTGCCAGTTGGAGGTGTTGTGAGGGGCTACGTTTGGCTTCAGCAATTTTTTTTTTGAAGACTGAATGCGTTTGCCCATTTCATGGCGGGTGATTTACGAGCGCACCTGGACACACTGTGCTGAGCGTTCAGCAGTTTTTGACCCAAAACAGCACGACCCCGTGCCCCACCCTCCCTATTCACCTAATATTGCTCCGAGCGACTTTTTTCTGTTTGTTTCCTTGGATGGAAAAAGTCCTCAAAGGGAAATGTTTTGCTGACGTGGAAGAGGTGACACAAAAAAGGGCGGAAGCACTAAAAGGGATCAGAATTGACGAGTTCAAAAACTGTTTTGAGCCGTGGGAAAGAATGTCTCGATAGGTGTATTGCATCCGATGGAGAGTCCTTTGAAGGGGACTGAAGTTTAAACATGGAAGGATAAACACACAATTTTTGTAAATAAATTCTGGGGTTTTTTGGGGGGTCCCTCCTTGTAGACAAAATTTCATGTTCATTTAAAATGGTGAAACTCTCAAAATTGCAAATAGTTATAAAGGTAGGATTTAATAAAAAGAGAGACATTTTTTGGCCTTCCCTGTCCTCCCAGGTAGCGTGGAACCCCCTGCCTCCCTGCCTCCCTGCCTCCCTACCGACCTGCCTCCTTCCCTCCCTTCGTACCCCGAGCTCCTTCCCTTCCAGCTGAGCGTCAGCCCCTCAGACCGCCTCGAGCAAAACGGTTTTGTCTCTTAAATGTGTGGCTTCTTACTCCATAGGCTAATGGCAAAAGTCATGTATCTTGGTTTGAGAGACAGTCTAATAAGGATTAGGTCAACAGGTAGGTGCTGGTAATACCTAATCCAGGGGCATCAGACTCATTGTCACCGGGGGCCACGTCAGCCTCACGGTTGCCTTCAGAGGGCCGGATGTAACTTTAGGAGTGTATACAGGTGACTGCTCCTTAACTAGGGGCAAGGAGCTCTGCGCTGCCGTCAGGTAGAAACGAGGTGCCGGGCCGGGCAAACCAAGGTTTCGGCCTGTGGGCCTTGTGTTTGCCGCCTGTCACCTAATCTATTTCATTTTGATAGTGAGAATTGAAAGGCCATCATTTCTGTTAACCTGCGTTGTAAATCATCTGCCTTCTGAAAATCGAGACTTGTTCTCGTTTGTGCATTTTCAAGTTTACCTTTTCCTCCCTCCCTCCCTCCGCCCTGGTCTTAACCATAGGGCACAGGCAAAACTGGTATGTAGTCCTCACAGGCGTGCGGGAATTTGGCGTGTCCCATTTCACCCCGTGTGTGCAGGGCCGTGGTTTCAACAGTTTGACCCTGGCCTGGCGTTCATGCCCTCCTTTTAGAGACACTCTGTTTTGTTTGTTTGTTTTTTTGTTTGTTTGTTTTGCTTTCTGGAAAGAGTCTTCAAACCAAATGATTCGAAAATATGTACTTTGGAAAGCTATAAAGCATATCTTTTTAAAGTTCCTTTTGTCTTCGGGAGTGGGGGAACAGGAGTGGAATGCCAAGTGGGGTGAGGGGGTCCTTTCTGGAAGCTTAGTAGTTGGGTCTGCTCAGTATACTGTATCATTCATGGATGTCTGGAAATCCACTTTGTTGCCTTTTTAGAAAATGTAAAAATAGCAACAAAAGCCGATCATCTGACTCCCCGCTGGAGGGCAGGCTGGGACTGACATGGGCCTTTGTTTGCCGGGCCTCTGCCCCATCCTCCCGTCTTTTCCCGAGGTGCTCGCGGTGGGCTTTCCATTTGCCCGTGGACCGTGGCCAAGCCCCTGCGGCCGCGCTGCTTATCTCCGGGCTCAGGTTCCCCGCGCAGGCTCATTGCTTCCCCGGAGCTGCCTGGGGTTCGTCAGGCGCCTGTCCCTTTGGGGTGTTCCTCTGCTCATTCTCACATGTTTCCTCTGGAACTGCACAATGTGGGCGCTGGAATTTGCTGTGTTGTATAAAACGCAGAAACTAGGTGGTTGCTACACTCGGGAACATAATTGTTACGTGTTTCGCTGTGACATTTACCAAACATAGCAAGTGATTTCTTTGTTTTCCAGAGATGGTATGTCAAGATAGTACATTTGGGCAAACAGTTGAGTATTTGAGAAACTTGTTCAGGGGAGGACACTGCACTTCCTCGTATCTGTGAAATGAAAGAGGTACTTCAAGATGGCTGGAACTTTGGTATGAAAAACACTGCAGCTGCAGAAGAGGGTCCTGTCCCCAGAGTTTCAGCCTTTGTGGGACAGCAGGAGCTCCGCAGAGATGCCTTTCTGGGCTGCAGTGGCGACCCAGAAAGGCATTTCTGGGATGCGCCATGTAGATGTCCTGGGGTTCCCCACTCGCAGTGGTCCCCAGCAGGGGCAAGGGGAACTAACTCTCCAGGGGACTTCCGGCCACCTCCACAGACGGCCTGGGTTGTTACAACTCCGGGGGAGGTGCACTTGGCACCTGGTGGGTGAGGATCAGTGACGCTGCTCACCATCCTCCAGTGCCCAGCATGCCCCGCACAAAGAATGACCTACCCCCAGTGTCACCAGTGCCAAGGCTGACAACCCCTGCTCTGCGCTGGAGGGGTGTGGCATCTCGGCGGGGCCGTCACCGCAGGATTTCCCAGTGGCCGACCCGCCAGCTTCATCCGCACAGAGGGGCTGCTGGGGGCCTGGGAGGCCGCGCTGCTGCTCCGTGCCTGCCCGGTTGCAGGGGTTTCCAGGAAATCAAGTGGTTCGTGTGGTGTAAGCACACGGGGTCTTTAATCTGCTTGGGGGATAAAGTCCTTCACAACTAGCCAAAATGTGTGAGGAGACCAGGGGTTCTGCCTGGGAGTGGGGGTACTCCTGGTTGGATGTGAGTGAGTACACATGGCCAGGGTATATATGTGTGTGTGTACATGCATGGCATGTGCATGTTTGCATATATGTGCATATCTGCACAAGTATTTTAATTTTATGATATGAATAATACACGCATACGTTGTTTCTGTCAAAGGCACTGTCATAGAGGTCATCCGTCTTCCCCTGTCCAATCCCACCTGCCATCATTAATGGTTGAGTGTGAAACCTTCCAGCCTTTTATGTGAACATTTAACTAAATTCAGACCAGTGTAGTTAAATGTGATACATAGCTTCTGTCATGTGAGAACCACTAGCCTTTGGATGGCCATTTAGATGGTTCCAGTTTTTCCTTTTCACAAACAGCGTGCCTGTTAACGAACCCAGCCTCGCAGAGGTGACTGTTTCCTCAGATACCGACTAAGAACTGTCTGGGCCGAGAGACTCGCGCACAGAAAGTTTGGATAGATGTCCCCAGATTGCCTTCCAGAATGACTTAAGCACTTCACACTGCCACCTGTGATGGCTGAGAGTACTGGTTTCCGTGTGTCCTCAGCATCATGAAATACCATTGTTCTTTGTAAATTTTGCTAATGGAATGGGCGGAGACATTCTCTCAGTTGTCACATGCTTTCCCTGGTTATAATGGTGCAGTTTTGCTCTGGCGGTGCAGCTCAACGTAATTTTGTGTGACTTTGGGCTGTTTAAATTGCCATGTCTGAATTTTTTTTTTCCAGACAAATGATCCTTTCAAAGCATGTGAGATCCCATCATTCCTCTGTTCATAGTGGATCTCAACCGTTGACGGGGCAATTTTTGGCCCCTAGGGGGACATTTTTGGTTCTCGTGACTGCTGCCATTGAGTGGGTGGAGCCAGGGGATTCTGCCAAACACCCAGAATGCACGAGACAATCCCACAGTGGGGACCTAGGTGGCCCAGAGCATCAGTAGCAGCGCAGCTGGGAAATCTTGCTCTTGTCTTGCTCCTCAATTTCTGCTGTTTGCGGACAACACAGGCCTACAGGAGCAGGCAGAGGGGGAACTCTGCAGGTGGGATTGATAAATCAGCATCTTGAGGTGGCGAGAAGATCCCGGATTATGCAGATGGGCTCAGTGTCCTCCCAAATCATACCAGCCCCCTGTCTGCGGAACCTCTGGGGCCTTGCCCTTTCCCCCTCCCTCTCTTTTAATTCTCACTCGAGGACACGCTTACTGATCTCAGACACCGAGGGGAAGGGGAGAAACATCCACGTGAGAGAGAGACAGATCGCGTGCCTCCTGCTTGTGCCCTGGACTGAACCCACAGCCCAGGCTTGTGCCCTGACTGGGAATTGAACCTTCGACCTCTTGGTTTATGGGATAACGCTCCAACCAACTGAGCCACCTGGTCAGGATGGCTTTGGTATTTCTAAACCAGGAGAAGTTTCTGTATTTAAGGACTTCAGAGAAGCCTTTCCTTGTGTATCTAGATGTGAGTGTTTTTCCACAGTTGGGACATCATCAGCATGCAGTGTTGTGGACAATGAGAGGTTTCATCTGTATTAGAATTTAAAGGATGTTTGTGGAAATGCAACTCATAATTCCAAATGGTGGTGTGATTTCTAGAGAATTCTCCAGACCAAACCAGCACTCTCATGACTAGCTCTGTGTTCTTAACTCTGGGTCATGTGAGATGCACCCAAACATCCGCTGCTTCCTTTCCCCTCAGGGACACCCCTTTGGGTTCTCAAGGCAGACTCTAGGATGGGAATATTGGTTAGGCTTCATTGGTTAAAAATCGTAGAATTTTTTAAGGCCAATTTGGAAGAGCAAGTCTTCTTGAAGCAATCCCGGTGACGCAGATAGCTCCTTATTTTTAACCTAAGAGCACTTGTTCCAGAACTGTGCACAAACTGTAGCTGTTTCCATAGAAACACTCGCCGTCCAGATAGGAACAAAACATTCGGCCCATCCAGTTTCTCTGTGTCTTAGTGTTTGTTGCCGGGATGGGTCCTGCTGTTCATCCGTTGTCAGGAATCAGGGTAGTGTTAGGATTCCAGTGGAATTTGATCAGTCGCTTGGATTTTTCCTTCATTTCTCAAGTGACTGTGTATCTGGCTTTTGGGGGTGGGGCTGGGCTACGAGACACAAAGGAAAGGGTCCGTGACGTCGTGGCTCCCTCTCCCCATTCAGGCCAAGAGAAAGAAGCCTGCAGACGCTCTGCTTTTCATTTAAGGAAGTTGCTCTGGGAAGATCTGTGCATTCAAAGGGGAAAAGATGTGAGGGCAGGGAGGAATGTTGGGGTATTAGCAGACCCCTTATGCCGCATATTCTAGATTCAGACTTCTCGGGTTTCCAGTGTAGGATAGAGCGTTGAGCTGAATGGACGCTGCTTTATCGATACTTAGTTCAGTCAGCTGAAGTGATTGCGTTGTTCATCTTAGATCTCAGCTGAGATTTTTCTGGAAGTTACGCATTTTTATTGAAATGGATACTTACAAAAAGAAAACGAAGGAGAGCAGCCTAGAGGATCAAATCTGTGGCTGTAATTGAAATCTGAAGGCCCGAGGCTCTAAGCTGACACGGCGTCCTGGAATGTGGCATTGGGATCCGTCACGTCTCATCACTGTCACATGGGCCCGCGGCTTGCCTGGACTGCCATTTCTGTTCCAGAAAGCCGCAGTATTTTAGGAACATGTGAAATTATATAGTAGACTGCAGAATTTGCTGTAAGTCAAATAATTGGGGATTACTCTGGCTATGTAAGAATGCCTCCAAACTGTGTAATATAGAAAGCGCATGTTTTCTTGGAAAAATGCAAATCGTATTTGAGATTTTCATGTGAATTGGGAAGGTCCGAGTAACGGCTGCAGTATAAATGCAGGTTTCCATTCGCAGCCTAATGGTGCCTGGATGGTAACAGAAAAGGTGTTTGGGCAAAACTAGGAAAGGAAAAATGATTCTTATTTTAGTTCTGTCCACATTAGACCTGTTCAGGGAATAGAATTTGGAAATCACATAATAAATATGAAACCTGAATTCTTGACTGACGGTTTGCTTTCATTTCTTCACTGCCGCGAGCACGAGGTCATAGATTTTAAAGCTTTTGAAGGCATTTGTGAGAGATTATACATAGGCCATAAAATGTATTACCTATCGAAAATAAGAATCAATAAAAATACAGTTGACTTGTAGGGAAGAAAGAAGCCTTGCCAATTTTAAGTGGCTCTTAGTTCTCTTTAAAAATGAACTGGGAAAACGTTCTTTTTTGTAAACTTGAATCATGACCTTGCTTTGCTCCCATGTATTTAATTTCACTGAAGTGATATTTCAGAAAAGAACCATTCTGGACATTGTTTTCCCCTTGTTTTCCCCACAGTTGGAATGATGGTAGTCACAGGATTGGGGCTCCGACCCTGGGGTCAGCTGTTCAGCTTGGGTGTAGAAGAAGGGGCGTCAGAGCGGCGTTGGCCTCAGCCTCAGGCAGCGAGTCTGCTCCCCGCAGTAAACCTGACACACCCAGGTTGCTCCTCAAGGGGGCTCGTCTCCAGGCCGGTGATGTGCTGCTAGACAGACAAGGCATATGGTTTTTTTTTTTTTTAAAGATTTTATTTGTTTATTTTTAGAGAGGGAAGGGAGGGAGATAGAGAGAGACATCAATGTGCGGTTGCTGGGGGTTCTGGCCTGCAACCCAGGAATGTACCCTGGCTGGGAATCGAACCTGGGACACTTTGGTTCCCAGCCCGCGCTCAATCCACTGAGCTACGCCAGCCAGGGGCATATGGTTTTAAAGGCAAAGCTGTCTTGCCTCTCCCTTGGCAAATGTACAAGAAATCATTGAGGGAATCCTTCTAGAGCTTCAGCTTCCAGTACAGATAGACAGACACATGTGTCTCTCTCGACCTGGCCGAGAGCAGGCCCTGGGTGTCTGCCTCCGGAGTGTAGACATAGGGAGACAAATAGCACCTTGCGGTAGATGCCAGTGTTCCCCCAGAGTCACATATGGTTCTGAAGGGAACATGCAGCCATTTGCATCATTGGTAAATGGGACTATTTTTTTTAAAAGTACTAGTCTTAAGCACAGAAATGCTTGCCTGGTGTTCAGCACAGCCCAGACAACTTTTCCAGATGGGTTGCATGAAGTCAGCTTCTTCCAGATCTTCTTTCTGCTCCCGAGGTTGTCCCTCGCCATATGTCCTTGCATATTTTTCTCGCAAGCTGCGGAAAGTTACAGCGCAGTGTCCAAGTTGGGCCACGGTGCGACTTCTTGGATGCCCGCAGTGGGCAGACCTTTTGAAATTTGCCCTTTGCCTTTGCTCCCTCACGCAACTCCTCTTCTCCCCCGTCATTCTTTGTTCTGATACTGGATGTTCCTTGAGATTTTCTGGGAAAGAGTAGGATTATCTCGGTTTGCATCTTCTGTCACCCTTGGCAACTCAAATCCGTGGAGCACAGCGGCTAACCTGGACCCAACTCAGACGGAATCTTGATCCCATGTGTAAACCCCAGAACTCTCAAAAAGGGGGCTTCTAAAACATGCCTGCTTGTAGTGCACGTTGGAGAGGTAGCACGTATTACACGGCAATGGCGCTACCTTTAGCTGGGCTCAGGTGGGCTTTCCTGCGGACCCACGAAATTGAAATGAAACATCATGAGGACACAATGGATTTGCTCATTGTTCTCCATCTCTTTTGTATTCGTTCCTCACCTTTGACTTGTCCTGGTCTATAGTAGAATGTTCCAGAAGTTTCACTGGGTATCGTGTCTGATTTGGCACTAACTTATTTATGGGTCTGCTTGGAGTGTATTTTCCTCAGGCTTCGGTTATATGACGGCCATAAATTTTCATTACGCTAATTAGACAGAGGTGGACGCCTAAGCGCCGTCGGATCCCTAACTCTGTTCAGCTGCCTCTGTCATTAGTTTTCTCAGTGACATGATTTGGCACCATTTTCCAACACATTTGCAGGAAATTAGTTTTAAGTTAGAAAAGACCTCGTCTAATAAAGCTACTGACGTTCAACTATTTTCTTTACCTTCTCGGGGAATTGGAGGTGAGTAAGTGCATACATTGAAAGCAGTGGACTCCGGGTTTTCTGGTTGGTTTGGTGCTTGAGGAGGGGATCTCGCCTGGTCCTCTGGCTGGGCTGCCTGGCCCCCATGCCCATGTCTGGTTCAGGAGGAGATCGCTTTGGTTCAGGGCCGGCCGGCAGGCTGTAACGCGCGGGCCAGTGCTGGCTGACTGTCGGCGCCTATGGGGAGCCCAGTGTTGAGGAGGATTCTGGAGTCTGGGCCCGGCAGGCAGGATGCCAGCTCTGGTTAGTGATGTGTGCCCTGGGCACGGGGACCGGGAGTCTCAGGAGCACTTTCGCCATGCCCGTTTTGGTGAGGGTCGTCTCGTGGTGCCTAATGCAAGCTCCTAAGAGCCCCAAGGCCAGTGAGCGCCCTCCAGATCGGGTCCGGCTGCCTGAAAGCAGAGGGTATCCAAGTTGAGCAGGCATCACCAGCATCTGGAAGACTTGTCAAAAGCCAGATCTCCCCACCCGGTCCCCACAGTACTACTGTCAGCAGGCCTGGGTGGAGCTTGAGGTGCACACGTGTAACGAGCTCCCAGGTGGTGGAGAGGCTGTGGGTCAGGGACTCCACCGTGAGAGCTGCTGCCTTGGAGGCCGCAGGACTGTGCGCTCCTGACACTGGCCTCCCTCGAAGCTCCCCGGGAGCTCAGGGAAGTCTTTGGATTTGGTGTTCGGACATGCATGCCAACCTCTGTCCTCCGCAGTGCTGGGTTCGGGTTGGGTCTGGCATTCCTTGTTTCTGCCTGGGAGTAGATCATGCTCATGTCTAGCCACACTTAAACTTAAAAGCATTCCACCCCCTGCTTTGAAAGGATGCTCTGAAACCATGAGCCACGTCTGTTTCACTTGATCTGCGTTCGCCAGCATCCCCTAGGACACGAAAAGTGGTGCAGTCTGTTTGCCGGGCAAACACGTGGACACGTAGGCCCGTGGAAAGTGACGACAGAGCCTGCATTTTGTACCTGGAGGATGTGGTGCCGCCGGACTTAGGGCGGCCCACTGGGTTGCACTCAGAGTAGCTCGCACCACGCCCACGCGCACAGTCACCAGGGCCGACTCGCACCCTTCCGTACACTTGCCGGCGTGATATTCACTGCTCCACGCGCTCAGCCCTTGTGGGCTCTCTGCTCTCCGCACGGCATTCGGAATTTCACACACAGTCAAGGTCTCCTGGGCAGGAGCGAGCCCACCGAGCACCGGGCTTCAGGGCTCCTCGTTTAGGAGCCCTGTGATGGGCGCACGTCTCTCGTGAACTTTCTCACGGTGGGCGTCAGCAGTTAGGCACTGCCGGCCGAGCGGGCGGGAAGCAGGAAGCCCTCTCGCGTGTGCAGTGGCGTTTAGCTGGTGGTGATGGGAGACGGGGAGCGAAGAGCCGGCTCCCTCCCACTCCAGGACAGGACTGCGTAGGAAACCACGAGTCTGAAACCACACGGCACATGGGTGTGTGGAGGACTGCCAGCCCTTTTTGTCAGTTCTTTGCAACAAGCATGATGTGGTCACCCCGAATCTCATATACAGGGTGATCACACTCATTTTTATACACAGATTTTCAAACTATTTTTGTGAGTTCACGGTCACTCGGTGCAGTAGTCATTGCAGTATTTACTCAGTAGAGTGAGTTTCTAGACTCAGCGTGATGGTGCCGAGAATGAGTGAAGACGGTTTTGGAAGTTCCTGCATTTTTCTCTCTCCGTTCCTTGCAGAGTCTCAAATATCCAGCAGCAACTGGCCCAGCTGGAGAGCGAGTCCTGGCCAGGCATGGCCGAGGCCGACAGGGACCGGCTGCAGCTCATCAAGGAGAAGGAGGCCCTGCTTCAGGAGCTGCAGCTCATCGTCCAGCAGAGGCGGCCAGTGGAGGACGTGGCCCGGCTCGAGGAGGAGAGGAGGCGCCTGGAGGAGGAGATCCAGCGCGCTCGCGCCACCTCTGTGCAGGGCGCCACGGAAAGGTGGGCTTAGCCTCCGGACTTCCAGGAGCAGGACCCAGCTTCTAGTGAAGAGCGAACCCGAAAAGTCCCACTGGTAATCCTGTGTACGGCTGGAGAACCTTGCCAGGCAGAGAGAAGGCGGAGGCGTACCGGGCGCTGTTCGGGGTGCCGGCGGCACATTTTCAAGCCAGACAAAAATAGCCTGTTGTTTGGGCGTTTATGACTTGAGTGTGCTTCTTAGTTATTTAGCTGTTCGAATGGAAATCATTTGCGGGATGGAATTGGTCGTTGGATTTCTTGTTAGGGAACTATATCTGATGTCTTTGAGACCCACCCATGGGCTGTTTTCTCACCTACAGGATCCTGCTTCAGGAAAAACGAAATTGCCTACTTATGCAGCTAGAAGAAGCTACTCGATTAACATCCTATCTCCAGTCCCAGTTAAAGAGGTAGGCACCCTTAAAAGAGGAAGGTGTGTTTCATTACCACGTCATGAATACCGTGTTATAATGACGTGTCTGGGAACTTCGTAATTCCCTTTAGCTTGGTTTTCTCCAGCAGGACTTAGAACCAGAGGGGGTGGAAATGCAGAATGCGAAAGTGGGCACGTTGCAGTTTCAGGAGGGGCTGCTAATATATGATTCAAGGAATGTGAGGGGACCGAGTCTGGCTGCGGAATACCGAGTCTGAAGTCACATTCATGCAAGGGTTTTGCAGTTCACAGCTTCCGAATGTGTGTATCCGCCTACACATATGCAGGCAGGCCTTTTTATTCCGGGTCTTTAAAAACCATTGCGGATAGTATTTTGCGGGTCATGGGTATTTTAAAATAAGATTTGGATGCTCCACCATAGCTCCTGTTTTCAAGTACTTACTGTATCGTGAAGCATAATGGTCAAGGCTTTCTGTTACAATTTTCTCAGTTAGTCCTTGTAAGAGTTTCACGTGAGAGGAACCGTCTTTGCCACAGCCCCCAGTGAGAAAGTGGGGAGCTCAGAAAGGGCAAGTAAGTTGGCCAGGTGGACTGGCTAGTCCGCCTTTGAGCTGGGCCTTGAACTCAGACACGATTCCTTGATGTTAACTACTGCCACCTACTGCCATTCAGAGGAGACAGAGGATATGTTCTAGAAGGTGCTTTACGGCGTTCGCAGGTGTTTCAGGACATGCTCCTGTTCACGGGAGAACGGGGCAGGGGTCTGTTCTGCCGGGAACAGCCTCACCACGCGCAGCGGGGGCTCCAGTGCCGACTGAGGGTGTGCGGGTTCTCTCGTTTCAGCCTGTCTGCCAGCACCCTGACCATGTCTTCGGGGAGCAGCCGGGGGTCCCTGGCCTCCAGCCGGGGCTCGCTGGCCTCCAGCCGGGGTTCCTTGAGCTCCGTCAGCTTCACCGACATCTACGGCCTGCCGCAGTACGAGAAACCCGAGGCTGAGTGCAGCCAGCTTTTGCGCTTCGATGTGATTCCCTTCGACACCCTGGGACGGGAGGCTCCCTCCTCAGAGCCCCCCGTCCCCTCCGGCTTCCACAAGCAGAGGCGCTCCCTGGACACGCCGCAGTCCCTGGCCTCCCTGTCTTCCCGCTCCTCCCTGTCCTCCCTGTCGCCCCCGAGCTCGCCCTTGGATACGCCCTTCCTCCCGGCCTCTCGAGACTCGCCCTTGGCCCCGCTGGGGGATAGTTTGGAGGTGCCAAGCCTGGGTGCCCTGGACAGACTGCGGGCTCAGACCTCTGCTCTGGGAGAGGAAGACTTGCAGGGCGCTGCATCCCTTCCTCCGCCGCCGCTGCCGCCACCCCCGCCGCCGCCTGCATTCCCCGCCCCTGCCGATGGGGAAGGACCTCGTGAGCGAGGCCCCCCAGTGGCCGCTGTTGCCACCGGTACAAGTAAGTATAGACCAGCCCTGCGGGTTTTCCTGGTCCTGGGAGGACGGCTTCAGATTCAGGGACGGAACCGTGTGTGAGGGCACTGAAGCAGGCTGGTGTGTCAACCGCACGGCGAGCTTCAATTTCTGCACCCCTGCCGGGGCGAGGGGCCGCCGGCTGGCTGTGTCCCGGGAAGGTCACCGAGGCCGGCAGAGTAGTCTCTGCCAGGCTGGTTTTCAGGACGTGCTTCACTGTCGACAAGGAGGGGAGGAACCACACGGGCCTCCGCACGACCGAGGGCCTGAGAGCCGAGCTGGGGCCTCAGGGAGCTCTCAGGGCGTGTCCAGACGGAATGTTCCCTGTGTGCTGCTCCAGGCCCGCACGCACGCTGCTGTCTGCCCGTAGTGAGGGAAACCTCTGCTTCCTTTGTCTTTGTGATTTCATTTCTCCATCCTCTGTCCTCACACTTTTAAAGGTTGTAGTTCTGTCCAGAGTGGAAATGAAAACAATTGGCATGCCGGGTCAGTCTCTCTGGCGGTCTCTGAATTGAGACACATGTAGCCACGGGGAACTTCCTTCCTCCAGTCCCTGTGAACTCAACTTCTACTCGGTACCAGGGCCTGTCAGCTTATAGTTCGTGTAGAAAACCGAACTGCTGGTCTAGACAATATTCCAGCTGATGGCTCGTGCACGAAGCGGGGCCTGGCCTTCAACTCTCCTCATCTTGACCCCCCCTGCCTTTCTAAGCCACCCTCCAGAACTCCCACTTCCCCGGCTTTGAGAGAAGATCAAGAATAAGCTCTCCCATTCCTGAAGTTCAGCCCATTGGATGAACTTATTTGCACACCAACACTGCTGTAGGCATTGCGTTAGGTGAGCACCAGATGATTAGTATAGCACAGTGGGTATCAAGCAGGGGCGTTATGCCCCCTGGGAGATACTTGGCAGTCTCTGTCTGGAGACATTTTTGGTGCTCACAACTGGGTGCGGGGGCTGGTAGGGAGGTGCTACTGCCATCTAGTGGGGGGAGAGCAGAGGTGCTGCTCAACACCCCACGGTGCGGAGGACAGTGCCCACCACAGAGAATGATCCGGCCCAAGTGTCACTAGCACTGAGGCTCAGACATCCTGGTCACGTCGTGTCGAATAGTTTCACAGTAAAGGGTTGAAGTAAAATGTGAATACAAAACCAAGTTTGACCTCAAGCGAGTAGTGTAGTGGAAACCGGTTTTTAGACTAGCAGCTTAGAGACCCAGAATCTGTTCCCTGCCTCGTCGGCTTGCTGGCTGGGTGACCTCGAGCGCATTCCTGGACATGGCCGAGCCTTAGCTTCCCTGCCCTGGAATGAGGTGGTCTTTAGGGGCCCTCCCATTCCCCGCCATCCTCGTACCCACGAGGCTTCATATACAGCCGCGCTGGTCACCACAGACATGTAAATATGAAGAATGGTCTCTGTTAACACTTACATATTTCTTCAGCTCCGGGGCTTTTTGGCACCTGTCACTTCGTGTCGTCCCCTCTGTGTTTGCAAACACCCCTTCGCTATCCCCAGACGCAGGGTACACATGCAGGTGATCTTCACTGGGGTTGGTTTTTAGAATCACAAGTTCACGGCTCCATGTTTATTCCTTCCATTCCCCAAAGGAAATACAAAATAGGGACTGACTGAATCTGTTGTTAGTTACTTAAGCTTGCTTTCTCAGTGCCCCTGCCTTCCATGCCAATGTCTCTTGCAAGGCTGAGATACAGGAGGATCAGCCTCATGCAGAAAATCCACGCTAGGCCCAAGGGCCCTTTTGGGCCAGGAGAAAGACAAGGTGGGAAAGAGAACTTGCTTAATTTCGAATCCTGATTTCTTAATTTTTCCTTTCCCCTTTGTGGCAGACATCATAAGGCTTCCAACGTTTTGGACTGAAAGGTATTAGCGTATGCTGTGGTCACATACTGCCCCCTGGTGGCATATTCCTTTATGACACCGCCAGTTGACTTGGATCCTTGCAAACTAGAAATGACCCAGCCAATGGGTCCTGGCGGGGGCTCTCAGGGGGCTGGATTGGGTAACCAGCTTCAGACTCGGACACAGAGTGACCTCTTGCTTCCGTGATTCTGGGGGGCATCATTATTCTGGTGACCCCAGAATCATCATAGCTTCGCAAAGTTAGCGAGGGTCTCAGCACTCATGATGTTACTCCGCCCCTCGTTTATGAAGCCCAAGGTCACAGAGTTCCCTCTGACTTTCCATTCCAGTCTGGCTAGGAACAGTACAGTCCACGTCTGACCTCAAGCAAGTTTTACTGAGATAAAGTTTGAGGAAGATAACATTCAAAATTGCTCAAACCTACGAGACAAGCCCTAGGATATAATTTGTCTTAAGTCAGTTTCAAGGAATAGGCACGGCGGTACAGGGAAGAACAGCAGTAGATTGTAATCGGGAACATTTTTTACATTTTACTACAGTTTTATCTTCCCCGAGTTTTCAAAGTCAAAGGTTTCATCATTTTGAAATACTTTCCAGTTTTTATTTTCCATTGGTATTTGCTAATCTAAAGCCATGAAAACCTTGAGTTTGCTTATCTACTCCTTGATGTTTTTATGATGTGCATACTGTTTAAAATTGTTGGCTTACATTCTGAAGTTTTTTCACTTTGTGCTTTTATCTCTTTTTCTCATGCAACTCCACAGAAACGCTCACTGTAAGTGACCTTGGAATTTTCCTTTACCTTGTCAGTCAGGCTGCGTGCGGCACATCTTCGTGCAGTGAATCAGTGTGCTCAGGATGGTTGGGGTGTGGCCCAGAGGGCACAGCTCGGAGTTGTACCTCAGCGAAGTTCAACAATTACCATGTTCTTTCAACATTAGTATTTGTCATGCCAGCTAAAGTTGTATACGAAAGAAAAGCTTGAAGTGTTTATTCTTCTATATACTTTCCCCCAGATTTTTAATGGCTTTCATTAATTTTTTTTTTTTGCTTTCATTATTTTTAATGTGCTAGGTGGCCGCTTTGCTTACAGTGTGGTTTTCATTCTGTCTTCTTCCTTTCTGGCAACCAGCGTTGATGTCCTTAGGTCTCAGTGTCCGTGTGTCTGTTTTTTAATGATGACAAAGGTAGAGATTTTAAAAGCGACTGTTTGGAAGCTTGTGCACTCCTGAGTTCATTGGCCTTGAGTCGCCTTAAAGCCTGAGAGCAGACAGCTGGGGTACATGCGGGGGGCGGCGGGGGTGGGGGTCTGCTGTACGCTTTTCCCCCCACCCAGGGCAACGGCTGACCGCACTTCCTCCAGTCAGCTCTGCTGCCTGCCGCTTGCTCTGTGGTTTCAGTGGCTGATCCTGGGATCACTGAGGATCATTTCCTTTGTCTCTTCATCCACCTTCCTTGCGGCGTGGGAGAAACTTGGTCTGAGTCACACCGTCAGGTTCACGGGAAGTGCTTATTGCGCGGTGTTAGGGGAACACAAAGCCGCGTCGGAGCGGTGTGAGGTGTTAGGGCTGCAAGTGGAAGCGGCAGTGTTTGTTTGCGAGCATCTGTGCATTACACTGAGGGGTTCCATCTGCAATCCAGAGCTGGGGACTTTGGGTTCTTCCAGATGGCAGGAGAGACGAGAAGAGTGGCACTTGGGAATCCTGACCCGCGGTTTGAGAGTCAGGGCCTCCAGCCGCCCGGGAAGGGAGGTGGCTCTGGCCCAGGCCAGAAGAGGAGCCAGTAGTCCCCAGGCTTGGCCCTGCAGGCCTTCGGAAGGCCAGCGTTCGTCTGCAGTGGAGATTACGAGACCAAGGACCATAGCCGTGTCTGCTTTGTGTGTTGTCGGAAGCGTTCGGATTTAACTGGTGTGTGAATAGTAATTTGATTGGAAAGGGAGGTGGTCATAGGCAGACTCACCATTTCCCTCGAGTTAGGGGGTGCGCAGATGTCTAGATTTTCCGTCGCTAGAGCTGGGATGGCCGAGGAAAAGCGCAGAGGCAACGGAGGAGGCGCGTCACGAACAGGAGGCAGCGCCACGTCAGAGTGAGGCTCAGCTGCACACCAAGGCACTCACTCGGGGGACACAGCGACAGATGATGGCCTGTCTCGTGATGGTTCTGTGAAAGGAACTTGGTGCTACGAGGGAAGGAGTAGAAACAGTCGAGGAAATGCTGAAAGGAAAGATATCAGTGGTTGTCTTTGGTTCTTGATTAAAAATGATTTGAGGTGAAAAGAAGCTGCATGGAAACGGCCACTTTCTCGCCCCAGGAAAGCACTTTCGGGAGCACAGCTGGGCCGGGAGGAGACTGCAGTTAGACGGGCAGACGCTCAAGTGCGTGTTTTCAACGGCTGCGTCTGGGGTCAGCCGTGTCCTCTGGCTTGAGAGTCACTACAATTTTGTTAGCGTTTACTTAGATAATCTTTTATGTTTTCTGATTAAAAGACGCTAGTAGACGTTTATTGTATGAACTATGGAAAGTGCCAAGCAGCATAAAGAAGGAAATGAAAACCGCGCGCCCCCACTTGGAGAGGCAGCTGCTGCCTGCATTTGGGGGAACCTGTCTTCCCTAGCCGTTTGAGTGTGACAGTCTCTCAGTGCAGTGTGAAGGGGCTCCTGACTGACACCTCATGTCCCCTGCCCCTCATTCGGGAGGCAAAAAGAGATTTGTCATAGTTCGGGGAGCTTTCAGAGAAGTAGGCAGAAGTGTATTTCTCCGCTTTTTCAGTGTTTAAAAGAAAAGTTGAGCGCTGCATATTTAATCACGTGTGTGTACATACAGGGTGTGTCTGGAGCACAGTAACCGTGTGTGCGCTTGCACCTAGAATTCATCCCTGGCCTCCCGTGCTGTGCCTCCTGACCTGTGCCTCTTATTTGTAGCAGTGACTCTTCGAGAAGACAGCGCCAAGAGGTTGGAGAGGAGAGCGCGCCGCATTTCTGCATGCACATCTGATTACTCGCTAGCCACCGACAGCGGGGTATTTGAACCTCCGAGCAAAAGGTTAGAAGCTGATCTCACTATCCCCTTCTCCCTAAGCAGCCATCCCACAGTGTTACTGGTGAGCACGGAAGGGACGCATCCCGAGAATCCCACGTGCTGAGACTTGGTGTGTACCCAGGTGGGGCTTTTTCTGGCTCCTCTCCACACTGGAGGTTGGGCCTTAAGAACCTGTGAAGGTAACTCCTCTGGCTTCTGTGTGGGGTTTGGGGGATGGCCCCCATCCTGTGGTTCTAGGGCTTCCCTCTCTGGCCCTGGTAGGGATAATTTATAAGCCGAGCAGAACTGCAAAAGGAGAATCCGTGCGCAACAGAGGCCTGCTTGACCTGCTTGTGTAGCAAGGACACTCAGTAGAAATGAATTTCCCCCCTTCCCGAGCTAGAGGAATCGCTTTGCAATGACGAGGCACCTTCTGGGATCTGGAGGTTCCTTGTACTTGGAATCTTTGCCATCATTGTTTCATCTCACTGATTGCAAACTTCTTAGAAGTTCGCCTCTGAACTTTGTTCCAAGTATCACATGTGACCTCGAAAGGTATGCGGAGTTGTTTTTGAAGGCGTACCGGCTCGGAGGCAGGTGCCCGGCGACATGTGTCATGGACCCGGGGACCTGCAGTCACTTGAAGCATTTATTTACTTATGTCCCAGTTTAATAAACCCCTCTCAGTATGAAGCACCCCTCCCGTGAGACAGCACGTGCCCACCGCGTGGTCACCGGTTGCCTGCGGAGTGACCGCCGTGGCTTTCTGGTTGTGCTCAGGAGCGAGGATGCTGACGAGCCCGCACATGGGGACACTTGTGTCATCGAAGGGCCCCAGATCCACGTCGGGTTCTGGTGAGTGCAGAAGCCTCCTCCCCTGGCGCTCGTAAAGGTGATCGGCGGCAGATGGGGGCCCGCCCAGCGACTCACCCCTCCGCACCGGGGCCGGGAGGGACGGGTGGACGGGTCTACGTGACCGGGGGCTGCTCACTGGCCTGGATACCCTGAGGCCACTACAGCCGTCCCAGGCGGGGGGACCCAGGTGGTGGGAAGGGGGGTTGGGGAAGAGCAGCTCCATTGCTGTCCTCCGACACTGAGAGTCACCGCTGGGAACTGTCACCTCACGCAGCCCGAGGTTCGAGGCCATCACGTAGAAACACTGAAAGCCCCCGGTGAGGTGGGGCCTTGGGGAAGTTCTCACGTTTCTGCGCAGCGTCGCTTGTGTGCACCGCAGCGCAGCCAGCGGGCCTGCCGCCTGCTCCCCAGAGTCGGTAACCAGCAAGCTGGCGTGCCGTGTGTGGCTTTTTGGTTTCTAGTTACTTTCAGTAGTGTTCACACTATACCCAGGCAGGACGTTCACGGCCCAACTTTTCTTTTGCACACTCTTGTCATTCCAGCTGGGTGCTTCTCAGTGTTGGCACTAGTGCCATTTGGGACCGGATCGTTCTTTGTGGTGGGCGCCGTCCTGTGCACGGCGGGATGGTGAGCGGCATCTCCGGTCTGCACCCACCAGATGACAGTAGCTCACCCTCCGCCCAGCCGTGACACCAAAAGTGTCTCCGGCCGTGGCGTGTGTCGCTCAGGGGTTGCCGTGGCGGAACCGCCCTCAGTTGCGGGCCGCTGCTGCAGTGCAGCCACAAGCGTGTACACACCCTGGGGGATCGGCGGTTGTTGAACTAGTGTTTCGTTTGCTAGGCATGACAGTGGCAGCGAGTGTCTCCTTGTGAACGTGCTACAGCTGAAGAACTTCGCCGGGCTGGTCATGAAGGAAGACTGCAAAATGTGAGCTCCAGGGCCAGTGGACGCCCCGCCCACCGCCACTGCCCTCGGCCTCCCGGGCCTGCTGCCCGCGGTGCCGCTGGCTGGCCTGCGCCACTCGGCAGTTCGGGTTGGGGGCGTGACCAGTTTGGAACCCCAGTTTAAAACAAAACCAGGGAGTGTCTATCTTTAAAAGCAGGGCCGTCAGTTTTAAGAAAAGTCTGCTTTATTATTTGAGGCAGACGGAGCCGGGCCACCCATGTGCCAAAGTGCCCATCATTGGCTACATTTGGGTTTAAGTTGTCCATCCAGGTCACGGGGCTGGGTGGTCATGAAGCCGCACTCGGCTCTGTGATCCAGAGAGGCTCCTGAAGAGGCCTCTGGCTGGGAAACGGGGCTCCTTGTGTGAGGGGAGGAAAAGGAAAGACAAGTTGGCCCCAGTTGAGAGGCGCTGCCTCTGTGAGCTCCGCGGCTGAAGGTGGGTGCCGGATGGAGGTCCCAGTTTCCCAGGTGGGGGAGCACGCCTGGAACGGTGCATCCAAGTCCAAGGGCATACTCCCCTCCGTGACTCTCCTTCGTAAACTAGTCTTCTCAAGGCCTCGGAAGCAGCTGGGGTGCAAGTGGCTGAGCGCTCCCCACGGTGCACTTGGCGGGCTCACCGGTGTCCTGCAGCCTCCCCGGTGTGCCGGCGCCTGTGCTGCGGCGGACAGGGCAGGAGACCCAGCGCCACGGGCCGGGCAGGCGGAGCTTGAACAGGGAGCCAAGGCCCACTGGGGAGACCAGCGCAGGTGTCTTCCCCAAAGGACGGGCGAGCAGAACCTGTGCTTGACCCCGCTCAGTCCCGATGGCTGCCTTTGAGCCTTTCTCTTTGCGGCCTGGTTTCCCTCTAACCTCCAGGGGCATGTAGGTTCCTCGGCATCACTCTCTGCAGAGAAAGGGACTTTGTCCGGAAGACTTCGCAGTTCTGCCCACGGGCGTTCAAGGAGAGCTACGTGTGCGCGCGCACCCGTGTTCACGAGTGGTGTCATGCAGACGGTCCGTAGCCTGACTCCGTCTGCTGCTTTCTCCTCTCTGCCTGCAGACATGTCCGCGTCTACTTGCCATCGCTGGACTCGGGCACGCCAGACACCTACTGCTCCAAGTCTGTGGAATTCCAGTCCCCCCTGGTATTTAATGATGTTTTCAGAATCCCTGTGCATCCAAGCACGCTGACGTCGAAGTCCCTTCAATTATACGTGTGTGCGGTGAATCCGCAGCTGCAGGAAGAACTGCTGGTATGGCCTGCGCATGGGCGAGCTCTCCCTTGTCTGTCTCCTCCCGCGTTTCTCCGTCTTCCCATCAGTCCGTCTGTCTTGTCTCCCGTTCTTTCTTCAGCCCTCCTTCGTCACTCTCTCCCTCTTTCTGAGTCTCAGTCTGCCGTTCTGTCTTCCTTTCTTTGTCTCTCCGCCTTCCTCCCTCTTCCCCTGTCCTCTCGGTCTCCTCCTTCCGCTTTCCAGTCATGGGCCGCTTCGAAAGCGGCCTGTTCAGAAGGGTCTCCGTGACCGGGACTACAGAAAAGGACTGTTTTGTGCTCTAAATATGTTGTATTATCTCAGAAAATACTTGCCAAACTCCTACTGGGCAGCTTCTGAGTCATCCCCATTTTTAGTCGAAGGAACTAAGGAGGGTACACAGATTTGGCAAATAAAAATATGGGGTGGTCAGTTAACTTGGATTTTCAAATACACTATAGGTACTTTTTTAGTAGAAGCATGTTGCATACAGAGTGTGACGTACTGACGCTTTTTTAAAAAGTTGCTCGTTTGCAATTCAGACTTACCTGGAGGGCCCTGTGTTTTTCCCCTGGCCATCCTCTGCCCGGCCGGACTTGGAGGTCGGAGGGGTTTCCTTGCAAGGCTGGAATACCGTCCTTTGGTCCTGGCCCCTCAGCAGCAGAGTGAGGGATTGCAGGGTTCGGCAGGGCCTCCTTGCTTTCAGAAATTCCCGAGAGCGTCAGCCCCATCAAGCGGCAGACCCTGAGCCCAGCCCACTGGTTTAGGCTGGCCATTTTCTGGCCCTGTTCCCCCGCCAGCACTTTCTGATCGAGCAAGCGAGAAGCCGCTCCCATCCCTGCTGGGCTGCTCTGAGACCACGTTCACGTTACTGCAGTCAGTTGACGGGCAGTGAAGCATCTTACCTGCTTTCTGGTCGGGATGGAGGGGGTGACCTTGATGTTTTTAGAAGATTCCCGTTGGTTGGTAAGGTGAAATCACTCTGTGCCTGTTCTGCCTTTTTTTTTTTTTAAACACCTGTGCAGGGCATTGCCCAGATTAACCTGGCCGACTGTAACAGCCTGAGTGAAATGCAGCTGCGCTGGTACCCAGTCCAGGTGTTCACCAGCCCCGAGCTGCCCAGGACCCGGGACAATCCTCGGGCTGAGAAAAGTGGGGCCCGGGACCCTGTGCACACTGCTGCCACAGCCTCTGCTGCCACCGCCGCCGCCGCCACCTCTGCCGCTGCCACCACCGCTGCTGCTGCTGCCGCCGCTGCCCCTGCCGTTGCCACCACCGCCGCAGCTGCCACTACCGCCGCTGCCACCGCCGCCGCCACTGCCACCGCCACTGGGAAGACGGTGCGTGTGTCTGTCCCGCAGAGCAGCTCCCTCCTGCTTCCCGGCCTTGGGACTGGCTTGGGACTGGGGGAGGTCCTCTCTGAGAAGACTCCGTGTAGATTAGTGTTAGAGCGTAGCAGGCAAGCGGCAGACTTATAAGGGAAGTCATGAAAGTGGAAGGTATGGATGTGCGTGGCCACTCACGATAGTGTTTTTCAACACAAACGTGTTCATGATCGTGGCACGTTTATTGTTTTTGAATTTGAGCCTTTAGCTGTCAGCAGTGCGGTGGACTTCCTCCTGCTGGAGAGCAGCTGAAGTTCAGCCGCCAGCCTGGAGGAAGGGGCCTGACGGAGGGGCGGGCCCCCGGCCCGCGGTCCGAGCTGGTTCTCACACGCGCCCCTCTCTTCCCGCAGGACGCGGTGACGGTGCTGCTGGCCAGAACCACAGCGCAGCTGCAGGCGGTGGAGCGCGAGCTGGCCGAGGAGCGCGTGAAGCTGGAGCACACGGAGGAGGGCATCCTGGACATGGAGCGGAAGGAGGAGCAGGTGGAGGCTGTGTCCGAGCGGTAAGGCTCCCGGGTCTGGCGGCGAGGCGAGGCGGTGCTCCTTTCGTCGGGGCCAGGCCGGCGCTGTGCTCATCAGCCACGGGTCTGGGCGCCTTGGGGTGCGAGTTGTTTTCCTCATTCAGAGAAGCGGGATTCTCCTGGGAAACTGAGTGCTGATCTGGACGAGGGCAGGACTTTGACCTCGCTCCCCCTGCTCTCTGTGTGGGCTTTTCACCTTCTCCCTCTGTTGCGGGATTTCTCTTAAAGAGCGGGACTGTTGAATGACTCCGCCAGGAGTGAATACAATAAGGTCCCTTTAAGTTGTTTTTTTTTTAACAGCTGCATTGAGATGCAATCTACCTACCGTACAATTCACCCATTTAAAGTGGACAATTCAGTGGTTTTTCGTTCAGTCACAGAGTTGTGCCACCATCACCATAATCAATTTGCATCGGGCCAAAAAGAAACCCCATACCCATTAGCGGTCACCCCCATTCCTCCTTTGCTCGGCCTCTGGCAACTGCTAATCTGCCGGCCGCGTCTGGAGTTGCCTGGGCTGGACATTTCATCTCAGTGCAACCGTGTGAGGTTCCTTTCCGTTTTACCGGAAGTGGCCTGTTGGTGACCCCTTGGCTCAGTGCAGCCCCGCCTGCCGCAGAACAACAATGCAGATGCCCGGCATCTCCAGCGGACTGGCTTCTGTCTAACCCTTTCCAGAGGCGCTTTCGCATGGCTTTCCTTCCGCGGTTTCCCATAAAGAGTGTCGTCTTTCTAAAGCTTCCCACTTCTTCCTGTAGCTCTTCCTGGATTTCTTTGAGAGCACTTTCTTTTACGGAGGGAGGTGCATGGCCGGGGCAGGGAGGCAGTGTTGTACTCAGGGCCAGGCAGGAAGCTGTGAGAGTCCCAGGGGGGCGGGGATTTTCAGGACGCTGGCATCTGCAGCAGGTGCAATTGGGGGATGAGGACAGACAGAGCCTCTTCAAGAAAGTCCCCGTGGCTTTGTCCTCCTAGAAAACATACGTGCACTTTTATAAGAGAAGCAGCTATTGGCAAAGACTGGAAGCGAATATGGGGCGTCTCTGCTGCTGTGCTCTGCGTGCACAGCAGGGACCTGTCCCTTGGGTGAGCGTTCTGTGGGCTTTGCAATATGCACCCTTAGGAGCTGGCAGGCCGACTCGGTGGACAGCGGCTGTAGCAGCTGCACCCAGACCAGCCCCCCGCACCCAGAGCCCTGCTGCACCACTGTGGACTCCATCCACGGACAGCCGCTGGCGGGCCGGGCAGATGCTTACAGCCCCGGGAAACCTCAGCCCCGTCCTCTAAAGGTAAGTCGTTAAGGTCAAGGGGGTCTCTGGAACCCCATGTGCTTTGTCGCCCAGCGCCCGGCAGGAGAGCACGCTTAAGATCAATAAAGAGGCCCATAGCAATGTGTGTCAACTTTGAATTAAAAAGAAAGGACAACTACAACTAAAAAGGATTGACTTCAACTCCTTCACATGCCTGCTGGTGATGACCCAGTCCCGCCTCCAGGGCCAGCCAGGCGCAGGCTGTTCCGGGGATGCCACGGTTTTGGACACTTGCTCTCCTCCCTCCGGGATGTTAAGAACAGCAAAGTATCCTTTTGCCTCTTCTCTTCACCTGACCTTCGTTTTTTTTTTTTTTATCCCCAAGTCTTCAGGGAGGTCATCTTTCAGGCTTGCAGTGACAAATGTCTCAGGGAACCAGTGTAGTTGGAAGATGACTTACCAAGGCTCTATGGAAACTTTGTTCCCACCCTGTGCAGCGCAAATACTCGGGGAGTGAAACCCACCCCCTGGGCAGCTGCCCACGCCGCGGTGCGTGCACGGCAGGGCTAGGCTAGGCTGCCGGGCTGCTGCCGTAAAGCACTGGCCCGGATCACGGCACGAGGCTGTGGGAAGGTCGTGTGGTGTGGCCCACTCCAGCTTTTCATTTTAAAACACTTCAGATCTATGCGAAAGTGGCTGGTTTGAGCCCAGGGGTGACACGATCTGACTTCAGGTTTTTTGTTGATTGCTTTCTAACTTACTGACATGCAATTCACATAAGATGAAACGAACCATTTCCAAGTGAACAGTTCGGTGGCGTTAAGGACATTCGCAGAGTTGTGCGATCACCGCCTCTGCTGGGTCCCCGGCACCTCTGTTCCCCCAGAGCGAAACCCCGTCCGCATGAGCAGTCACTCCCCGTGCCCGCCCTCCCAGCCCCTGGAAACCACCAGTCTGCCTCTGTCTCTGCGGGTTTGCCAATTCTAGACGTTTCCGTGTAAATAGAATCACACGACATGTGGCTTTTTGTGTCGGGCTTCGCTCACTCAGCCTAATGCTTTCTCGGTTCATCTGCGCGCATTGTGGCGGCCGTCAGGGCCTCGGCCCTGTTCCTAGCTGAGCAGCCTCCCCTCGCCTGGGCCCGCCACGTTTCCTCGTCTGCTCCCTTGTTTGTGCATGTTTGGACTGTCTCCCCCTTCCGGCTATTCGAATAACGCTGCTGCGAGAACGTGCGTGTGCAAATACTTGTTTTGTCCGCAAAAAAGAAGACTCGAACCTTTGTAGATTTAAGAAAAGACTTTTAGGTGGGCCTCACTGAGGACATGCCCGAGAGCAGAGTTCCAAGGAACCTTGAAACAGTGTCCAGCTTTAGACAAGTGCGTGACGGGAGCTTCTGTGGGCAGGAGGACACAGACAGAGACAGCTGTGTGTCAGCAGTCTGAGTAAGTCCCGTGCAGTCAAGGAAACGGACGACCTCAGGCGGAGGGAATGTGCAGATAAGGTGGGGTCATCCAGCGTCTGGAGTCAGGGAGTCATGGGAATGGGCCTGGAAGCAATTATTTTGAAACCTTTATCAGGATGTAGAAAGAACAGGCTTTGCCTCCTATAACCATTTATCTTTGTAATTGGGACTGTTAGAGAGTGTACGTGACCAGCCCCACGGAAGGCCTCGGGTAGGAATTTGCTGTTCCCCTGGTTACCGGTCAGGTTGGGGCCGCCTACACAGCCTTTCCTTTCTCGGCAGCGAACTCCTGTTTTCAGGTCTTTTCCATACGCTCACGGCAAAGGAATGGCTGCGTCTGGCTGCAGCTCTAGCAGGGTCTTCCCGGGTGCTCCGTGCAGAGGAGATGGAGGGGGGGCGGGCATGGGATGGAGCAGGTGGGCGAGATGCCCACCGCGCTCACTGGGCATAAACCACAGTGACCCGGATGGAGGGGTGGTGACAGGTGGTCGACACATGCGTAATCTGGAATATAGAGCCAACAGGGCTTGCTTTGGGGCCAGACACAAGGTGTGTGAAAGAGGACGAGAGTCCAGGACGACACCAAGGCTTTTTTTTTTCCTTTTTTGCACGAAAACTGACCAGCAGAGACCCTTGTCAGAGGAGGACGGGTTGGGAGAAAAACTGCCAGTCAGTGTCAGATGTGTTCAGAGTGACACGGCAGCCCGAGTTCCAAGCAGAGAAGGCAGGGACGAGGTGTGTGCGCACAAAGTTTACTGCTGTGTTCTAGAAAAAAGTGGTGGTAATAATGAATTACTGTCTAGGTTGATAAGGAAACCAACACCGAAGACCTCTTCCCAGAAGAAGTAGCCAGTCTTCCGAAGGAGCGGGCCAGCCGCAGGGTCCGAGGGGCACCCTTTGTCCGCAGTAGCACCATTGTCCGTTCCCAGACTTTCTCGCCTGGGGCGCGAAGCCAGTATGTTTGCAGAGTAAGTTGCAATTCCTTTGCCACCAAGCTTGCTTCCCCCCGCCGCTTCCCTGGTTGTGTTTTCCTTTTTATTCCTTATGCTGAAAGACAGAGGTGTTCTCCCAGCTCACCCCGTCAGTGAGCAGCATCCTTGTGATACGAAATCCGTGCTGCTCCCGTCTGCCCTACCTCGTCCCGTACCTATATCTAAGTGGATTTCTCCCGAATTCCAACCCCTGTCCCCGGGACACTTGCGGTGCCGTGTGTGCACTGACTCAGGTCAGGAAGCAGGGTGACTCCTTTGCACCGCAGTCTAGGGGTGAGTGAGTTGCAACAGGGAGTATCCTGACTGGGGTTGAGGTCGGCAAGTCAGCTCCCTGCGGGCCGGAAGTGCCGGAGGACGGCCACGGGGGAGGCCCAGGGAGGATGGCGGCCCTGAGCACTCAGGGGCTGGGGCTGCCCGTCCTGCCTCCCTGCATGTAAAGCCTCGCCCCGCGGGTGATGGCAGGACGTGCTGGCTGGCTCTCAGGCCCAGCTGCTCCTTGCAGCGCAGTCAGGGTGCCTGGGTACCACCCCCAGGGGTTGTCACTGGTCCTGCTGTGGCCCGGGCATAGGAGCTCTGGGATGTAGCTTGCTCACAGGGTTGAGAACCTCGAGTAACTTGGACAGGGAGACCCAGTCCACTGTGGTTCTCAAAGAGGGGGCAGCATGTTGGAGGTTGGCAGGCAGCGACAGTGTCATAGTGACAGCACAGACGAGGACAGAGAAGGGATTTTTAAGCATAAGTGATTTCGACGCAGTGCCCTGAAAGGGACACTGGATTGGGGAGAAGCTTGAGCCTTCCCACTCCTCTGGATTGGACTTGAAGGGGCTGCCAAGGAGCTGGCTTCATTAGGGCAGAGCCTTTATTATGTTCACGGTCACGGTTGTTTACAGTGACGGGGTGTAGACCAAAGTTAGCAGAAGGGAGAGGCACGTAGGGCCTCGCTCAGGAGACACTGGGCACAAGCTTCCGGCGGGTCTCTGCAGAGAGCTGTGCACACAGCTCGTCTCTCTCCCGGCAGTGGCAGGCGGCAGCACGCACAGAGTGCTGCCCATGGGGCAGGGTCTCCTGAGCCTTGGTGGGCAGGCTTTTCCGTGGGGCTGGCCATGTTGTCCCAATCCAGTCGTACATGGCTGACTGTGGTCACCAGGCCCTCCAGAGAGGTCAGGCTGACGGCCAGAGGTCCCTACCATAGGTCACATTGTCGGCAGAGACTATGTAGACGGGCCCCAGGTCCCCAGAGACACTTAGGCAGCACATTGCAGGGCCTTCCAGGTGACCTCCCAGGCTAAGGACCTTCCTTGGGGCAATGTTAATCCTTTGCCACATGCACCAAACAGCAGGAAGTGGCACCCAGGGGCCCCAGCCGCACTCCTGCCCTGATTGTGAGACTTGCTGCTCTTCTTGGCACGGACGGACGTGAGGTGTCGGGCTCACGGCTGCCCCGGGTGGCCCAGAGCGAAGCCCGGGCGCCGCTGCCCCGCCAGGGCTCGGCTCCTGTGCCGGCCTCTGGCCCCGCTGCTTCTGTCTGCTCCGCAGTGGAAAGCGCCTTCCCCACAGCACCTCAGTGCAAGGCCGAATAAGGAAACCGGTTGCTTCCTCCTAAGTCGTGGCGGATCAGGTACACAGAAACAGCACTTGGGGAAACAGTCATCGAGGCTTGAGGCCCTGCAGTCTCAACAGGTCACTCCCCAACCTGCCCTTCTTCCAGTTCTGCTTCAGTCTGATAGAGCTATGAACCCAGCGGTGGCTCAGAGGCCAGGAACGGTCAGTTCCAGGGGTTCTCTAAGTACGTACAGATTCTGCAGTAACGTGTGGACTTTCGTACTGAACGATGCTGAATTCAGAGAGGTGATAGAACTTACTAAAATGGGGGAGCGGGGAGAAGGATTCAGCCCAGGCGGCTGCAGACACTAGGCTAGCTCGAGGGACATCCTCAGGCCTTCCCAGGACTCTTGCTGAGCGCTGCAGAGCAGATTCGAGCCCGCTCCCTGCAAAGTCGAGGCGCGAGGAGAGCCTTTGCCTCCCCGGAGGGAGGCTGGAGGGAGGCTTCCGGTGCCTGTCTGCGATCGGCGCCCTGCCTAGAAGCACGCGTTCGCTCACGGCGCTGTCAGAGGCCGCTTTGTTTCCGTACACATTTGTCACGATCAGGAGGCCCGGCAGCTGCCATGCCATGGCTCTGCCCGAGTGTTCTGGGTTAATTGGCGTGGAAAATAAGGCCACGAAGGCCGGGACTTTGGCTCTCACACAGATCCACATTGATCCCGAAGCAGGAACCCGCCACCAAATGAAATACATAATGTCTTGGCTCCCATAAAGAAGGCATTATTTATTTTTCTTTTTCCAAGGCAGACCTCTCCCCCTGACTGGCAGAGCGGGCGTGAGGGCCGCTGCCGCGTCCCGCTGCAGGAACGAGGCTCGGTTTTGGAAAGCGCTCTCTTTCCGGCTCTTGCCAAAGCCAGGAACACAGCAGATGACAATGACGACGAGTGCCAAGCGCTGAGGACAGTGCTGGCTTTCATGAGCGTCACACATCCTATCAAGTCACAGTTGCTATTGGTGGAACAGAAATATTGTGGCCTCGATTAGCCTAGGGAGTTCCTGTGGGCCGGCTGATGGACACGAAGGCGGGCCGGGGTGGCGGGGAGTGGGGGATCTTGGTATGCTTCATTGGTTTGTTTTTCTTTGTCCTTTGTTTTACTGAAAAGTCTCGTTACTCAAACCAGGGGTCTCGGTAAAAGCACTACGGTTCATAAATACATTTGAGTGCCTATGAGGAGAAAGAAAATAATCTAATTCAGAGTGCAAAGAGAAGGAATCTCGAATTTCCAAGAAAGTGTTTGTGAACCTCATTCTTTTTGGTGCAGCTCTATCGTAGTGACAGCGACAGTTCAACACTGCCCCGGAAGTCTCCCTTTGTCCGAAACACTTTGGAAAGACGAACCCTTCGCTATAAGCAGGTGTGTGCTGCGTAAGCTAATATGGAACCTATACGTACCCTGGGAGTTATTTTTAGAAAAACTTAAAAAGCTGATCTTTTAGATTACTGGTTCACCTGTGTTCTTTAATTGCGGGAGAACCTTCTGGAAGGCCCGAGCTTGCTGGCCACGTGGTGCCCGCACGCTTGGTGAGCACGCGCACTCACGGCTGTGGTCTCCCGCAGTCCTGTAGGTCATCCCTGGCCGAGCTCATGGCCCGCACCTCCCTGGACCTGGAGCTGGACCTCCAGGCGTCGAGAACTCGGCAGAGGCAGCTGAACGAGGAGATCTGCGCGCTCCGAGAGCTGAGGCAGCGCCTGGAAGACGCCCAGCTCCGGGGCCAGACCGACCTCCCGCACTGGGTGCTGCGCGACGAGCGATTCCGCAGTCTGCTGAAGGAAGCGGAGAGGCAGGTGAGAGGCGCGGGGCCTGGCCGCACCCCACCGCCCTCTGCTCCCGTGCTAGTGGCCCGGGAGTCAGCACTGCAGATGACAAAACTACTTAAGTGACCCAGGCACTTGTATTAAGGGGCTGGGTTTCTCCCTCTGTTCGGGCAGCACCAGCACACATGTGGATGCTTTGCAGCTGCCGCACAGGGGTGCCCCCTGCCAGCACCCCCACTACCCGCTTTGGGATGGGGTGTTCTGTGTCCCGTGTCTGTGAGGCCATGACCCCGGGGACCCTGAGTAGGTGCTCTGAGGATTCCCTGGGGAGAGTGGGTCCCCTCTGGGTCCCCAGAGTTGGGAGTGGTTTCATTCATTCTTCCTTAAAGTGGTAGTAAAGTGTCTCGTTCATCCAATGTTGCCGTTCCAGACAAGACAGACCAAACTTGACTTCCATCAAGAACAGGCAGCTGAGAAGATGCTGAAGAAGGCCTCCAAAGGGGTCTGCCAGCTGCGTGGGCAGAACCACAAGGAGCCCATCCAGGTGCAGACGTTCAGGTAGGGGGGTGTGGGCCTCGCTGTCCCGCTCTTTGCCATCTAACTTGTCGTTAGAAACACGACAGCCTTGAGAAAACCCACGAAACAGGAATCCCCGCTGCTATTAGCAGTTCCATGCTTTCTTCCAATCTTTTTTTTTCTAGACACTTTTTTTTGCATGCTACTTGTAATAATAATGTGGGTTCAATTGTGCGTTTAGCTTTGTTTAGATGCGATAGCCTGTGTCGCCACACCATCTGTCATCTTGTTGGCTGTCGTGGCTCACCCAGTAGATACAATTTACAGGAATATTCTATTTTATAGCCCTGCTTCTTCCCAAACGTTCCCTATTGAACACAGCACATTGATTTACTTATATATGCATCTGTGTAGAACCTCGGCCTTTTTCGTTACCTTGTGACTGCGGCACAATGTACACGCCGGGGAGTGTGCATGTCGGAGCCGTGAACTAGTTCAGGGAATTAGCACAGATGTTCCAGCCTCAGGCTTCCCACACCAGAGTGACCCCTGTTTTGAATCTGAGTATCATAGACGAGCTTTCCCTAGTCTGTTCACATAGCATCAAATTACGCATTTAAAGTGAACAATTCCAGTCCCGACCGGAGTGGTGCCGTTGCTTGGGCGTTGTCCCACAAAGCGAGAGGTCGCTGGTGTGATTCCCGGTCAGGGCACAGGCCTGGGTTGTGGGTTGGTTTGGTCCTCGGTCATGGCACGCGCAGTGTTTCTCTCTCACATGGACGTTTCTCTCCCTCTCTTTTGCGCTCCCTTCCCCTCTCTCTAAAATAAGTAAATAAAACACAAGAATTTTAAAGTGAACAATTCCACACCATTTAGAACATTCACAGTGTCCTTCAACCACCTCCTCTGTCTAGTTCCAAAACATTCCCATCACCCTCAAAGGAAGCCCCGCACCCATGAGCCGTCCCTCCCCATTCTTCCCTCCCCCCCCCGCCCCCCCATCTGCCCCTGTCTCTGTGGCTTGGCCGACTCTGGGCGTTCACGTAAGTGGGGTCGTACAGTGTGTGGTCTTCTGTGCTTGGCTTCTCAGGATAATGTTTCTAAAGCCCATCTACATGGTAGCACGTCTCAGAGCTGCATTCCTTTTCAGGGCTGAATAACACGTGCCCAACCTTTACTCTTAATTTGTTCAGACCCTGAATTTTCACATCCCCATCATAAAAAAAACAAAGTGCTTAACTATCTTCCTTCAATGATGATTTAGAATGACTTCATTTGTATAGTTTTTATTCATTAATTTATTTTTTAAAGATTTTATTTATTATTTATTTTCAGACAGGGGAGGGAGGGAGAAAGAGAGAGAGAAACATCCATGTCAGGTTGCTGGGGGCCATGTCCTACAACCCAGGCATGTGCACTGGCTGGGAATCGAACCTGCGACACTTTGTTTCGCAGCCCGTGCTCAATCCCCTGAGCTACGCCAGCCAGTGCTTTATTCATTAATTTATTAATAAAGCAAATATTTGCTGAATCCTTGCCCTCCCGGGGCTTCGTAACTTCCATTAAAGTGTAGAGGCTCTCTATTCAAACAGGTGTGTTGTTCAGATTTAAATTCAGTTCGTTCTATGAGTAAGAAAAGCTGTCATCGATATTGAGAGCATCCTGGCAGCTTTCAGTGCGTTTCTATCAGCTTCTAACCGGTAATTCTTTCCATTCCCAGGGAGAAGATAGCATTTTTTACCAGACCAAGGATTAACGTACCTCCTCTGCCCGCCGATGATGTTTGATGTAGTGCTTTGTACGCGTGAAGTATTTATCTTCCTGTCTTGTTTTCATGAAGTTCTTAGACTAGCTAAATTTGTCTTAAAATATTTGTGCAAAGCTATTAATATACACATTTTGTAAAAAAACACATATCTATACATATATATTTTATAATAGTGACGGCAACAGGGCTTGGTTTTTCCTTGTTGTGAAACTGACATCTCTGAAGACAAGTTATTTTATAAAAGATCAACTATCATGTTAAGAGTGTACAGTTTTTACGCTGTTTTATTTGACTTAAAGGCTGGAAGACAGAAACGAAGTGAGTTCAGGCAAATTCACTGTATTGTAATTTATTTATAGTACTTTTTTTTTCCTTGAAGGAAAATACTGACTTTAAGATGTATTTTAAGACTGAAATTTTGTTCTTCAGTATTTGTCATGCAGTAGAATGGAACTTTGGGGCCGGTTTTGTTTCTGACACGGAAATGCAAACACTTTGTGCTACATTCGTCACTCGTGCCAGCTTCTCATGTGTGCCTTTATCATGTACATTGTCCACTGTCACACTCGTGTTCTGTTAAGATCCCGCCTGGGGGCTCAGCCGTAGTTCACACGTGTGCGCGTGCGCGCGTCGCGGAGCTCCGTCTCCACGGTGACTGCGCGCCGAGAGCCCCCTCATTTCTGTGTTGTGTCAGCGTGCACAGCTCTGTGCTCCCTCCGAGTCTCCCCACAGAGCCCCGGCGCCCTGGCTGGGCCCTGCCTGCTCGCGGCAGCTGCCCACCCTGCCCCGTGCCGGACCCAGCCGCCTGCCCTTCCAGTGCGCCCCATGCGGCTGTGCCCGACAGGAAGGCGGCGCCGGGGCTCCCGTTCTACTGCTCTGTCATGAAGGAAAGTGAAAGGGACCTAGGAACGCGCCCTCGCATCAGCCAGCGAACCTGCTGATGCGGACAGCAGTTCTGCCATAGACATGATGACCTCTGAAGGCGCTTTGCCGTGGAAGGAAGCGCACGCGGGTAGCTGCAGTTACCCGGCAAGTCACTTAACAGGAGAGTGTTTGATTCATTTTGATTTAAATCATAATCCTTCTCCCCGGTACTGGAAGGTACCTAATATTTCTTAATAAATCTTAGAAGTAGTTCATGAAAAAAAAAGTTTTATGTAATTAAAAAAATACCATTATTCTCTTAAAATGCCAAATGATATACCTATTTTGCCTCATGCATATTTATTATATATGGAATGCACTCTCCTTTCTGAGGCCTCGGAGAAGGAAACGAGGTGGTCACGTAAAATAGAAAAGAGAACTTCCTCGTCCTAGACTGCTCTGCCCCTCCCTTGGAAATGCCCCCTTTAATCAATGTCTCTCTTCTCATTAGTCTGTAATTGTCCCCCTTGTATAATCCGCCTTCCTTTTTGCATTTATTAAAAGTGAATTTTGTAAAAAGCATTTCATTGACACGCGACCTGTCACGGGCAATGGACCTTGTCAGTGGCGGTAAGACTGAAACCTCTATGCTTTTCACAGTTGTCATCTTTTGCTATGTATTTCTGCCTCGAGTCTCGCTGGATTTTTGTTTTTTGTTTTTTTTTTGGGCTAACTTCTCTGGGAACATACCCACAACAGAGATGGGGACACGCAAAGCCCCGCGGTCCTGTGGCACACAGCGCCACTGAGCGCGCCAGGACGATGGCAGGCCCTCTCTGTGCCCCCGCTGGGGAACTCGCACCATCCACAGTCTGCCGCTCCGGCGCCTCGGGCGCGCAGCCCCTCCCGTGGGAGAGTCCCCTGGCCGCACGGACTGGCCGCGTCTTTTCAGCAGCTGCCCCACGAAGCTGCCTCTCAGTGGGCCTGTGGGTGGAAGCCCCTTTTCTGCCAACCCCCACTAAGCGGCACTGTGGGGGAAGCCTGCCATGCGCATGCGTAAAGCTCTCCGGCAAGGGTTTCCAATACACGCCACTGCCCAGCATGCGCAGATTTACAGTCAGAGTGCCTCCCCACCCGAGGGTTTCGAACAGAAACCCAGAAGCCAACGGGAGCCTGCTTCACTATCTTTCCCAGGCAATCTTGTGGTGGCCCTCCCCGTCCTCTGCTGTCCCGTCCCGAAAGGGCACATTGCCGGTGACAGCTGGGGTGGGCACACAGGAGGACTCGAGCACCTGAGTGGCTTCTCACTCGTGACTTGATTTTGCAGCTTTTGAGTAGTTCAGACCGCCACCCCGCCCAAGCCGAACACCCACGCGGGGTCGTTCCATCTTCTGTCTAGCTCCGCCGATGCTACGCCTTGTGATAGGCAGCACTGTGCCGCGTGTTCGTCAGCAGTTGTAGTCCAGAGATGGGGAAAAGGGAATTTGATCTTCACTTCATTGATCATTGAAATTGTCACCACTGTAATCAGTAACCTTCTGTTGTGGGAATAAGTTCTAATCAGTAGTCATCTCTGTTCTAATTGTGTCATTTGTATTGCTTGAAACTATTTCTTCTATAAAATTAAACTAATCTGCCTTAAGAACAAAATGGAAATGTGTGTTTTTTTAAAAAAAAACAACAATGTCATTACAGAGACAAATATATAAAAATACATATCATTTTTTGCAACGTGAACATACAGGTATAGAGATAGTAAAATGAACGCACAGGCAGCCATCCCCGGCTTCTGCGTGGGTTACTCGTGGGCAATGTTTTGTCTGCATCTCCCCTGCCTCCCCGTCCTTGTCACGTCTGAACACCCACTGACTCAATGTCATTCACTGTCCAAGGGTCACCTTTCCAGTCGTTTCATAGATCATTCTTCTTTAAACTCAGCGGAATCCAAATACGGTCTGTTTATTGGGATTTTTAAATCTTGATGCATTTTTTTAAACCCTTCACCCATTTCCCTGACCCATACCTCCTGCCTCTGGCAACCACCAACCTGGTTTTTTGAGTAACAGCTTTCTTGAGATAGAACTCACTTATCATACATTTCACCCTTTTAAAGCATATGATTCAGCCGTGGCTGGTGTGGCTCAGTGGATCGAACACCAGCCTGCAAACCAAAGGGTTGCTGGTTTGATTCCCAGTCAGGGCACATGCCTAGGTTGTGGGCCAGGTCCCTGGTGGGAGGCGCACAAGAGGCAACCACACACTGATGTTTCCCTCCCTCTCTATCTCCCTCCCTTCCCCTCTCTGAAAGTAAGTAAATAAAAATAACATCTTTTTAAAAAAACATAATTCAGCAGTATTTAGTATACTCAGAGCTGTGCAAATATCACTGCAATCCATTTTAAAACTTTTTCATCATCCCCCCCAAAACCCTGTACGCATTACCAGTCACACCCAATTTTCCCCTCCCCCACCCCCGGTGACTACTAATCTGCTTTCTGTCTCTGCATTTGCGTGTTCAGGACATTTCAAATCAATGGAACCCTGCAACATGTGGCCTTGTGTGTCTGGCTTCTTTCACTTGGCGTCACGTTTTCCAGGCTCATCCGTGCTGCAGCGTGTGTCAGGGCTTCATTCATTTTCATCGCTGAATAGCATTGCCTTGTATGGAGGAGCCACTTTTTGTTGATCCATCTACCAGACGGGTATTTTTAGCTATTATGAATAATGCTGCTGTGATGGTTCACGTTCAAGTTTTGGTGCACACAGATGTTTTCATTTCTCCTGGGTCTCAAACCGAAAGTGGAATCGCTGGGTCATATGCTGACTCTCTGCTGAGCCGTGTGAGGAACTGCCAGGGGAGCTTTCCAAAGCAGCTACACCATTTTGCATTCCCATCAGCGGCATTTGAAGGTTCCAATGTCTTCACGTTTTGGCCAACACTTGTAACATCATTTTTTAAAAGATTTTATTTATTCATTTTTAGAGAGGGAAGGGAGGGGAGGGAGAAAGAGAGAAACATCCATGTGCGGTTGCTGGGGGTCATGGCCTGCAACCCAGGCATGTGCCCTGACTGGGAATCGAACCTGCTACACTTTGGTTTGCAGCCCGCGCTCAATCCACTGAGCTATGCCAGCCAGGGCTGAATTATTATTTTTAATATAAGCAGATATATAAGTATATATACACACATACAAGCATGTACACAAAATAGACATGCATATGCATGTGAACATACATAAATATACACGCATCTATGTTTTTATCCACTCCCCTCTAATAAATGGTATCACACCAGACAGACTTTTCTCCATCTGGCTTTTGTCACTGAAAGATCTATCTCAACAGCCCACCAACATCCGCATTGGCCACTGGGATCATTTACCACACAGTTGGCTTAAAGCAACAGAAATTTATGGTCAGTAGTTCTAAAGCCCAGAAGTCTGAAATCAGGGCCACCGGCCGGTCCCGCCCGAAGGCTCCGGTGAGGCTCCTTCCTGCCTGCGCCCCACCACCTTGTCCTTGGAGATCCCTGGCTTGTGGAGCCATCACTCAACCTTTGCCCCCGTGTCCACACCGCCCTGTCCTCTTCATCTCCCCCAGTTCCTCTTCTGTCTATTTGGAGAACACAAGTCCTTGGATTTAGGACCCACTGGTTAATCCAAGGTGATCTCACCTCCAAACCTTCCATGACCTCTGCAAAGTCCCTTTTCCAGAGAAGGTCACACCCACACATTGCAGATGGGCGTATTTTTTGATGGTCATCATTCAGCCACTACCACCTGCCCTCTGGCTCCCCCAAACTCGTGTTCATCCCACCTGCAAATTCCGTTGACCGGCTCCCACGTCCCCAGAGCGGTACGTCCAGTCTCCATTTGTCTTCACCTTTGCACTCTGCCTTAGTGGAGGTGACAATTGATTCCATCCCCTGGGATGGAATCTTCTGACTTCTGGGCCCCATACATTTCACCTTGAAGATTCTTAGATAAGGTCATATTCTGAGCTTGCTGTGCACATGAATTCAGAGGGACGCCCTTCAGCCCCACTGCACATACGTACACGCACGCAGCTCTACTTTATTGATCGCTGGTCAAGTGTGGGTTTGCTGTCCCTTTACTCAGGTCTTGTCTGCTGGAGCTGCCCGGGGCGCATTGACTGTGCGCGGCGGTGTTTGTATTTCTCCTCATGTCACTGGCCGTTTGCACTTGGAAAGCCCCACACTGCCCTCATCAGAGCCTGCCCACCATCGATGGATGGTAAGCTCTGAGCACAGGGCAGCGGGTCACCACAAAGCACAGCTAGCCCTCGAGCCTGGCACACGAGTCAGCGAGTCAGTGAGTCAGGGCTCTACTAGGGGACTATCGGGGCCGCAACGGGTGACCACAGATGTAGTGGCCTAAAGCAACACAGATTTATTCTCTTATCTTTCTGGGGTTCACAAGTGTCTAGGGGGTCTCGCTGGGCTAAAACAATGGTGTCGGCAGGGCTGCACTCCTTCTGGAGGATCCGGGGGATAATCCATTTCCTAGCCTTTTCCAGCTTCTAGAGGCCGCTTGTGTTTATTGGCTTAACGCCCCTCCTTCCTCCTCCGAGGCCAGCAGTGGTGCACCTTCAAATATCTGTCTCTGCGACCTCTGCTTCCGTGGTCACCCCTCCTTCTCTGACTCCGCCCTTCCCGCCTCCCTCCTGTAAGGGCCCTTGTGATGACGTCACCCGGGGTCCCTTCTCCATCTCGGGAGCTACAACCTAATCACAGCTGCACAGTCTCTTTTGTGCCGTGAGGTAACAGACATGCAGGTCCTGGGAATGGAGCTGGGAACCTCTTGGAGGCGGGGGAGTCGTCATTATTCAGCTGTGCACAGAAGCACCCATTTCTCAAGGACGCGCTCCTTTATCCCGATATGTGTGCACTCTTATCAGGCGTCTCCATGGTTGCTTTGCAACAGAAGGTCGGATGCTACCGTCTCACATTCTGTGGCATTGGCAGCATCTTGCCTGGGCCCTGTGGCGAGGGCCATGCAGGCTTCTGGGATCTACCTCTCCCGCCAGCAGACACCCCGGCCAGATGGCTCTTCCTTTCCTGCAATTACAGGCAGAATCGCCTCGGTCATAAACACAAACTGTTTTATTTAATAAATTGGGAATGAATGGAAAATAAGTGCTTTACAGCACCATCCAATAAAACTATCTGTGAGGACAGGACTGTGGTGTATCTGCTCTAAAATATCGGTGGCTGCTAGCCACGGTGTGGCTATTGACTGCTGGACAGGTGGCTAATGTGACCGAGGGACTGGATTTTAGATTTGATTACTTGGAATGAATTTAAATGTAAGCAGAAACTTGTGCTACCACACAGAAGCAGAGCAGCTCGACGAAACTCTTCTTTCCAATGCAAAGCACCTGGACAAGTATCAGCTTTTCTCAAAGACCAGGGTGGGAAGAAGGTGCCCCTTGTCCAGGTGCAATCACGCAGCTTACGTCCATCGCCTCGGTCCGCGGGAGAGGCTGTATCACCTTCCAACTTCACGCCCAGTAGCCTGACGCCAGCTGTGGTGAGCGAATTTACACCATGGGGTTCTGCAAACGCTACAAACCAGGGTTCCCCCACTCCCTACCCTTGGAGAGCCAGGTTATTGAACCTGGACCAGCACACCCAATGTGGGGAGACAGGTATACTGAACTGCCTTAGGACAACCTGAGTTTCCTGGCACCCAGGGAGAAAAAGGAGGCGCTGTCAATGACACAGTGCTTACTGTGGGAGAGGAACATGGTGGAGGGGCTCCTTAGGGGAAGCATGGCTCTCTTGGCCCTTAGTGCAATCCAGGTTGTCTCCCCAGGCTTCCTAGAAGGGACAGCACCCACGACAACAGCTCCACGGCAAAAATGCAGAGGGCTTTCAGCCCTGGCTGGCACAGCTCAGTGGATTGAGCTTGGGCTGCGAACCAAAGCATCGCAGGTTCGATTCCCAGTCAGGGTACATGCCTGGGTTGCAGGCCATGACCCCTAGCAACTGCACATGGATGTTTCCCTCTCTCTCTCTATCTCCCTCCCTTCCCTCTCTAAAAATAAATAAATAAAATATTTTAAAAATGCAGAGGGCTTTCAAAGCTGTTGTTTGTCACCTCACCCAAGGCCATCCCTTTGGATAGACATCAGGATAAGATGGTGACATTTGCAGCTTTTAAATGGCCACCATGGTCTATGACCACAGCTCAGAATGCACAGGGGAGGCTAGATTGTATATGCTAGTAGCCCCCGTCATGCACTTAGATCTCAAGTCTTAGATGGCATTGACCACGTGGATAGCACCAAGATAGGTGTGGGCTCATTCATATATCCATTTGGAGAGTGTGCCTAGATACGCAGGAGCTCAGGACATAATCAGGTCAGAAGAAGGAGGTCCTCACCTCCAGGTTTTAGAAGACCCACCATTTAGTTAGAATAACTAACCAGACACTCGGTCTGGCATTTCAGAGGAGGCAAGGAAGGCTGCAAAATGTATGTGGGCACCAAAAGAAAAAAAAATGACTAATCAAGGTAATATTTATAAAAACCAAATTTGGTGGAACAACTTACAGTGAGCAAAATGTCACATGTTTAAATAACAACAGGCCATTCTTGTTTGACAACTCCGCACTACTGGGCAAGGGAAACAAGTGATTCCTAGCCAGCTGGGGGTTGCACGCCCTGTAGGTCCCCGCAGACTGAGTTTCTGTGGTTGACGGTGGAGTGTAAATATGGCCCACACGGGGCTTTGCATACAGTGGCGTATGTGTGTTTGTAGAGCCTTTATTCACTTTACCCACTTGGCTCAAAATCTGGGAGGACATTTTGATGAGCACGTGCGGGGGTGTACACCTGCCTTGTGCGTCAGGCTCTGCTGCAGCTCTGCGGAGCATTGCCTGTTCTTTCCGTGCCACAGAGTATTATTGCGACGACGGCCACAGCTCCCCACTTCGCGCAGGGCAAAGTGGAAGCTGGCAGAGGCTTGGCAGAACAGACCAGACACGAATGCCGTAATCCGGTCATAGTCCTGCTTCGAGATGGGTGTCGGGTAAAAGGGGATCATTTTGGCCGAGGACATCTGGAGACGATTTTGGTTCTGATGTGACATTGCATTTCAGAGACAGTGCCGGTCCTGGTGCATTCAAAGACAGGTAAACAAGCCCAGCTCCCCGCTCTCCTGCAGAAGCCTTGGTGTGTGTGGGAGGCAACGACCTGGAGGTACCCTGGCAAATGCTGCGGAGGGCCCCAGGGAGCTGGGGGGGCGCCGGCGTGACCAGCTCAGGCACGTGGTGGAGGACCCTGCCTGAGCACAGCGTTCCCCAAGCAGTGGAGCAGGCGGCTACTGTCAGGTCAGGGCCGCCTTCCAAACAGGCCACAGCATGCTTCCCGCCCCTCCCCCGCCCCTTGTCAGGCTGCTGCAGGAATCCAGTGATATCGGCGGCATGAACGTAAGGGCGCTTGAGCACTGGTGTTTACTGTGTAATATGCTCCCATGTCTACGACAACTTCCCTTCTCCCTCTGCGCCGCAGCCACTGGGTTCTTGGCCCCAGATTAACCACCCTTGGCGGTGTCCTGTGCATCGATCGGGAGAGTGTATGAACAGACAGGTGGTTATGTGCCACATGCCAGGAGTATCACCTTTATGTCATTCTACAGCAGGGTTCCCTGCCTCAGCACGATTGCTACCCTGGCCTGGAACATTCTCCGCTGAGAGGCCGTCCTGGGCACTGTGGGCTGCCCAGCAGCACCCCTGCCTACCACCCACTGACTGCTAGCAGCGCCCCCATTCTGTTGTGGCTGCCAGAAATATCCCCATATGTTGCCAGATGTCCCCATACATTGCCAAATGTCCCTGCAGCGGATACACAAGAGGAAAAAGATTCAAAGGGATGAAAAGCCGAAATCTGAGGGGGGGGGGAGAAGGTGCCAGTGTGGAGGAATAAAAGCTCAAATGTTATGACTGAAGTATTTAAAGAGTCTGTTCACGCAGGATGGTGACCATGAACTCTCTGCCCACAGGGCAGAGTAAGGAGTGGGTTTAGGTGGGAGACAACTGGCGCCTGGTCCCCCACATGACTGAGCGTTAACACCAGCTCCTGGCTTGCCTTTTCCTCCCTGCTCATGTTTCTGAGCAGCAGTTCTCAGGGCTTCTTCCAGACGTGTGACTTCCCTGTGGTCTCACCCCCAGACGTGCCTCCCGGCAGGGCCCCCAAATGCCCATCTTTGCTCCCACCTAGATCAAAGAAGGGACTGCTTCCTGTCCCCAAGCCAGAGCACACTGCGACCTCTCAACACTGAAGGGAAAGAAGGGACAGCAAGGAGCTATCGAACATATTAACAAAATGCAAAAAATGAAATAGATTTAATGAACAATCCAGGGAGGAGATTTTGGAAGTAGAATGGGATATAACAAACTGCCAACCGTTTTTTTTTGTCCAGAAGAAGTCAGAATTAATTACCAAAATCCCCAGTTTCTGGGTAACAACACGTGTCAACCACGCACAAGTGTCTGCACTGCTGGGAAAAGGGGATGAAGAGGCGCTGCATTATTGGCCAAGAGTTCAAGTGATGGAGTTTGAAGATAGTACATCAGGTTATAGAATAGATGACTATTTTCACGAAAATCCCTGTATCAAAACCAAAATTCTCTCCAGAGAATTTTATCTGAATGAGATGAAAGTGGTGATTCATTTTCTTTTTTTTTTTTAAGATTTCATTTATTTATTTTTAGAGAGGGAAGGGAGAGAGAGAGAGAGAGAGAGAGAGAGAGAGAGAGAGAGAGAGAGAGAAACATCCATGTGCGGTTGCTGGGGGCCGTGGCCTGCAACCCACAACCCAGGCATGTGCCCCGACTGGGAACCGAACCTGCGATGCTTTGGTTCGCAGCCCGCGCTCAATCCACTGAGCTACGCCAGCCAGAGCTGGTGATTCATTTTCAAAGTCCACTGACATTAAGTGGAAATCTCGGAAGGATACGACAAAAAGTTCAAGTGGAATGCAGAGCGAAGGCAGGCAGCGTGAGGAACCGGACGACCATTCTGATGCAGGTGCAGATGAGTCAGGGGAAGTCATCAACGCTGACATGTGGCCAAACCCATTACAGTACTACTTGGTCCCTGACATGGATGACAAAGAAGGAGGAGGAGAAGACAATGGTGATGAAGATGAAGATGAAGGAGAGGAAGATGAAGGAGAAGATGCCTGGGGGAACACTGATGGATTCCAACCTTCGTTTTTAACTTTCTCCAGTCGCTGGAAGCAAGTCGCCATCCTTTTTGCTTTGTTTTTTTCTCTTATGCTCGATCTCCCTGCGTTTGAGATATCTTTTCTCTCCTTCACACTATGGTTGTCACCTCATTTGGGGGGTGCTGTACGTTCAGCAGAAGAAAGTGGGGAAAAATCTCTGCCCTTTTCTGTTCCAAATTCATTTTTGTCCCTTCCTGTGTCAACAAAAACATTACGGAATCAACACACTGTGTTCTGTGGGAAAAAAGAAAAATCTTCCGCTCCCTTAGCACTGCTGGAAGCTGGAAGGTGCTAGGTGTCTGTGTAGCAGCGAATAGAATTCTAGCTTTTTTCCCCTCCTTTCTCTGTATATTGGACTCAGGGATTACACTGTGTCTCTATGTGAATATGGACAGTCAGCATTTACCAACACGTATCTGTCTCCTTTCTCTTGTTTAAAAAAAAGGAACTAAAAAAGAAAAGGGGTTATAGGCCAGCTTCCCCTTTGGCACGTTCAACTGTGATGTTTAGGGGACATCCTTGCGATTGAAGATGACACTTTTCAAATACAATTCTTTCCGAATGGGGACTTGAGCCCTGCCCCTCAATGGGAGGGTCAGCAGAACCTGTGCAATCTCATTCGGGCTTGACATTTCTCTGTTGTAATTTCGTGCCTATTCATTTGAAAATGTCTGTTTCACTGGAAGGGCAATGCTGAGTTTTAAATGTTAAAAGTGTACAAGTTGCTTTGTTACAGTAAAACTGAATGTGTACACAAAGGATGCGATGCTTCCCTCTCAGAACACATAGGACTTTTCGAGTTGGAGTTGCATAACATATTGTCACACTTTGTCAACTTACCCCTGACTGGCATGGCTCAGTCGGTTGGGCATCGTCCTGCAAACCAAAGGGTGGTGGGTTCAATCCCCGCTCTTTGCAGCCTGACCCCAGGGCTGTGTTCATGGAGGAAAGGGATTTGAATCAATGCATTAAGGTCTGCATAGCTGGAAAACATTACACGTACAATTTGCTATCAGTTTCTGAAACCTCTAAATCATTCAGGAGACCAGATTGCTTAAAACTCAGTTCTGAGTATATTGTATTCTTCATTGTGTATTTCATGTTGCTATTTTAAAAAGGTGGATGTATATATACCTGGGTATAATAATAGCGCCTGCCACCACCATCACACAGACCTGCTGCTTTAAAGCTAAGTTATACACAGGGCTATTGCTGGCGTGTCTCATTGGCTCTATGAAATGTGGCCGAGAAGACAGGTTTTCAGTGAGAAGTCCGAACTGGTGGTTAAGGAACTCAGGTCAGGAGTACTTTTGTCTCTAAGTGCCAGCTATTGAGAATGAGCATATCATTCTCAAACGAGACCCATCTATGTGAGTCTGGGCAAGATGGTGGACTCTGCTCTGTCCGCTAAATGCCATTGTTCCATAGAGCAACATTTTGAGAAGCTACCTAATACCTATGCTTTTTAAAAAAGATTTTGTTTATTTATTTTTAGAGGAGAAGGGAGGGGGAAAGAGAGGGAGAGAAACATCAACGTGTGGTTGCCTCTTGCGTGTGCCCTACTGGGGACCTGGCCCACAACCCAGGCCTATGCCCTGACTGGGAATCGAACTGGCCACCCTTTGGTTCACAGGCCAGCACTCAATCTATTGAGCAATGCCAGCCAGGGCTACCTATGCTTTTTAATGATGTAAAATATAGCAGCTAAAAATGAAATGCCATTTAACTTTTTCAGAGATAAATTAATGGGCAGCCTGGTCAAATTAAAAGCTATTTGATGTATGAAACTATTCCATCAATAGGCAAAGTGTCATGAAAACCTATCTAGATGGATAGTATGTAATTTTTGCACAGGTCTCTGTTTAGTAAATGTATCACTGTATACTGGTCAGGAATCTTGCTCCAGTAAAAGAACATAGCTTTTTTTTTTTAAAAAAAAGAAAGATTTTTTATGAGCAGAACAATCTAGGAAGACTAGGAATTGTTTTCTAGGGGCTTTGTGGTCAAGATCTGAGATTCTTCAATTAAAATCTGCATTAAAAAGTACCCCAAAGTGTTTATTCCATGATCACATGTCTACTATAGTGCTTTTAAGAAAATAAGCAACAGTAACTGTTTCTTCTTACAAAAGCAATACACGTTAATCCAGAAAAATGAGAAAATGTAGCTGAACTACAAAGAAGAAACATGCAAAATACCCCTCATCCCAGTAACCAGTGAAATACCACGCTTGATACATTCATGAATTCACTTCCTAATTGTTTTCCACGTTCATATATTACAGTCTTTGGGCAGATAGAAATATATCACACCTAGTACGCTAGAAGGGTCAATCAACACACAATACTTTAGAGTTTGCTTTTTTTGTCATTTAATAAACTGTGAAGGGATTTCCATGTCAAAAGTATCTACTTCCGTGTTAATTTCAAGTCTTCCATTGAACAGATGTCTTTTTAATTTAACCCATCCTCTGTTTTTGGAGATTTAATTTGCTTTCGGTGCTTTGAGATCATAAATAACAAATACTACAGCAAACTTTCCCAAAGTGGTTGTTTGTACTCCCTTCCTTTTCCCCTCTACGTCAAAATTCCACAGTCACGGGGACCACAGTATTTTCAAACATGCAGACTTGGAAGGCTCTTGGTAAAAAATGCTAAACATCCCACAAGGAAGATTGTTCAATTTACATTCTCATGGGTGCTATCTTTTTTTTAATTAAAAAAATCTTTACCAAAATGACACATTTCACGGTGGGCATGGAGGATGTTGGAAGAGTTATCTCATTCTGTTGAAAATTGCACAGTTTTCTGGCCTTTTCTGAATTGCCTATTTGCTGTATTGCCTTTGACACTTGAGCAGTCCCCTTGAAAACGGAAGGTGAAACTAAGCAATGGGCAAAAAAGTCACCCTCGGAGGAGGAAGGTGGCTCTACTTTCGACATTTCCACCAATCCGGAACACACAGCAAATCACCTCAGACCGCAGGAGGGCATTTTATAGGACCCCCGCCCCACACTGATTCTGGGAACTATGTCGCAGTGGTCTGCACAGCCCCGCAGTGCTTCCTGTGCTGGGGACGCTGGGTTCTCTCTGGGCAAGAATGCCCCAGTGTAGGCGAGGGAAGTTGGCCTGAGCGGCCTCCAGAGACAAGAGGTGACAGAGCTGGCTGGGCAGGGCTGAGTGGCTGGGCGGAGCACGTGACACTCCCCGGCTGGCTGGGGGTGGGGTGGGAAGGCCTGGCTGTGTGAGGCTGAAATCGCCTGTCACCTCTGGCAGGAGAGTGAGCCTGTCACTTTCTGTCTCCATCAGACCCTGAACCCACAGGAGAGGGGATTTCGGTAACATTTTAACTCTATCTCTCAGGCATCTGAAAGCAGAAGGTAAGTTGCTTATCACGCAAAGGAACAAAACTCGAGCAGAGTGACCTAGAAAACCTCACAGCCACTTGGTGGATTTTTAAAATCTGGTGTTGAAAATAATCGGTGGCTGAGAGAGAGGGTCATATTTACCCCCAAATTAGAGCCTGGCGTTCTGAACAGAAATTGTGTTCATCTGGAGGGAATGGCAGTCAAAGGCCTGGGGTTAAATATAGAAGGACACGAAAGCTGCTGGAATAAATAGCAAGGAAGCCTGGCCCTGCTTGTAAAACAATCCATTTTCACATCCCCTCCAGGGGCCCGAGGAAGGGAATGTGAAAATGGTGATTCCAGTGCAAGTGCAAGTAAACGAGTCTCTGTGAAACTGGAATACAAATAAAAACAGCTCTTGCTTTTGTCCCTTCACAGTTCAAAAACGTTTATGTGGTTTGGCGAGCGAGGCTGATACGTTCGCTGCTTGAGTTTGAAATATGCCATTTCTAATTTACAAAATGACCACAGTTGGAATTGTCTGAGGCTTTCTAGGCAAGGCTGTTGTTGATCGTGCACGAGGAATGTTGACATTGTACATATTTTCTAGAGTAGGACAATGACTCACTTCTGCAGAACGGGATAAAAATGAGAAAACGTGAAATAATGAGCTACTGTGAATTAACTCTGTCATGTCAAGACAGATCAAAAGTCTCTGCCAGAAGATTTAAGAAAACACACACAGACATGTGGACGGCCACGCTCATGCAATAGGACTTGACTTCAAGTAATCAGATGTTCAAGGAAGTGGTATAAATATGTGTTGCCACCACCTTTTTCTTTAGCAAATACAGGTTAATGCTGGAATGTAGCTATTGGGAGTAATTAAGAGCATGATTCATAGGTGCAATTAGTATAATATTCCATAATGAATATGCTTCCAATGCAAGTGTTTGCTGTCCTGTTTCATATGTGATTTGAAAACATTGAAAACATCTATGTAAAGCATGTCCATGCACTCGATGTTTTCACTGTCAATTTCACTTACAGAAAATATACTTATTTCTCCACTGCAAACACTAAATTATTTCCTTTCATTACTAATCCCCTTACGGCTAGCTCTCCTGAAATCCTATTACGTGCGCAGAGCCTGTAATCATTTGGATTTCTCCCTCTTTGCCGTTTGTTTCCCACAGTTGGGGGAAGGCCAAGCCAGCTGCGCGCAGCGAGCTCAGCGCCCAGAAGGGAGGTTGGAGCTGGCTTCCCCGCCACTCGCTCCTCACCTCCAGAGATACCCGGGGTCTCCCCAAAGCCCAGCCTGCCCGCCTGCCCACCACTCCTCGCCACCTCCCGCGGGCCCCCGAGGCTGTCACGTGGTGGCGTGGGGCCCGCCTCCGGTGACGTCACCGCGCTCGCAGCCCTGGCGTTGAAGAAAGGATGCTCTAGCTAGGATGCTGTGCAGGTGGGTGGCCGGGCTACGCCATGCGGCACTGCAGGTAAGGGGCGAGCGTCTCCTAGTCCCACCCGCAGGCCTGCGGCCCGGCAGCGCCCCAGGAAGGCAAAGCGGGGTGTCTGCTTGCTCCAGTTTTGCATGCACCAGGTGCGGGGGCGGGGGAGAGAGGGGCGGTTGCAGGCCAGCGTGACTTGGGTCTTTTGCATGCCCATCCCGGGAAAGTGGGCAGGGGCCAGGCAGGAAGACTTGGTCTCTTGCTCAGGAGGGGAAAAATCTGGAATGACCACTATACAGGTTTTCGAAGGAGAGAGTAGGGCCTGGTCAAGGTAACTAGCAGCTATTTCCAGCTGTCATTGTGCTTCTTAAATAACGGTCCATTTACGAATTCTGACCGGGATTTGTCCTCAGAATTGAGCCTGATTTCTTTCAAGCAAAAGCTGCTTTGCTATGAATGCAACGGAAACTTCTTCATTAGCAGTTTAAAGAGCGAGGCATGCAATCCGAAGCGTTTTTGCATTATTTTGCAAGGTTGCAGCCTTTGAAGGGGGTAGCTCATAAATGTATTTTCTCCCCTTCAGGTGTTTGAAGTAGATTTAAAAAATAACAGTAGCCAATAATATCAACTCCGATACAATGTAGCCCCTAAAGAGAACATGTGAGGGAAAAGAGAGTGAATCAGCTCTCTTAGGAACAAAATGGTCTTTGGAAGAGGATGGGGGTGGAGGCAAGCACAAAACCCCAAGAATCCCCGGTGTTGTGAATCCCCTTGCAGAATAATGAGCTTGCTGGCAGGAGGGGTTGACGATGACTCAGCGGCAGATGGAAGGGGGGTCAGGTGACTTTTCGGTTCAGTGGGATTTTTACGGACTCTTGAGAGGTCCGGACGTGTGTGTAGACGCCCTGCTTTGGTTCAGAACCCACCCAAGGCGAGGACACATGTGGGCGCACGTAGGAGGAGAAAGTGGCGTTCTTCCCTGCAAACCGGGCTGCCCCCTGGGAGCTGCAGCGGCAGTGAACTCTATTGGAACTCACACCGCGGATAGTGGGAGCCACCAGCCACTGTTGGGGGACCCGCAAGGCAGTGCTGTTGTCCATTGAAGAAGGCATTCCTCTCTGAGGTTGCACACCCATCATTTCCTTATTGCTGCCTTCTTCATTTGGCACAGGTTGACTTCCTTTGGGTCCCCCACCCTCGCTTGTCCCCCAGCCCAACCGGAGCAGAACAGACAATGGAGAAGGAGGTGGTGGAGACCCCGGTTCCGCTTGTGGCTTGGGGCTGTGTAACCCTGGACAAGTCACTTTGCGTCTTTGCGCCTCGGTTTTCTCGTATTGGAACGAACCCAGGAGTTGAGAGCAGCGTTTCTCCCCCTCAGCACTAGTGACATGTTAGGCTGGATCATTCTTCGTCATGGGGCTGCCCTGCACACTGTGAGATGTTTAGCGGCGTCGCTAGTCTCCACCCCCCAGATGCCAGTAGCACGCCTTCCCTTCTCTCCATGTTGTGACAACGAAAAATGTCTCCAGACACTGCCCTCCTGGTGGGGGTGGGCAGGGGGCTCCACTGGTCAGATGGGAACCAATGAGTTAGAAGGTCTGTACATGTTCTTCTGGCTCCAGTATTCTAGATTTCATTTTCCTGGGATTTGTGCGTTGCTGAGCCCTTGGTCAGAGTTCAGATTCCCTTCTACTGTGTTGTATATAGAGGAAATACAATGTGAAGGCTTTTTAAAAAATGCTGCCCTGGCTGGCGTAGCTCAGTGGATTGAGCGCAGGCTGCGAACCAAAGCGTTGCAGGTTCGATTCCCAGCCAGGATACATGCCTGGGTTGCAAGCTATAACCCCCAGCAACCGCACATGGATGTTTCTCTCTCTCTCTCTATCTCCCTCCTTTCCCTCTCTAAAAATAAATAAATTAAATTAAAAAAATGCTGTGGGGTCCAGAAGTAGCTTCTGTCAAAGAGGGGCAACTTCTTTGTGTGCTCGCTGTAGCTGGGAAGCCACCTCAGCAGAAGGGGTGTGAGAGAAAAAGAAACCTGCGGACAGTAGGTCAGTGTGTGTCCACCACTGCTGGACTCAGCGTGCGGCACGCCTGGACGTTGTCCTTGTATGGGGCCACTTGGAGCCTGGTGTGGAACCTGGTGTTGAGTCCCCCTCTTTATCTGCACAAGTGGGCTGGGTGGTGCCGGCGGAGGTGGTGTAAGCAGGGAACAAAAAGACCCGAGCTGCTGGTGCCGATGGTGGGCTGTGGCAGTGGGGTGTTGACCACAGGGAGGGGAGGCTGAGGCAAACTGCCCCTGAGCCTTGACGTGGATACCCTCTCTGGGCAGTGGGGGGGTCACATGCTTTAAGCTTCCATGTGGGACTTCCGGCTAAAGTCTGGCTCTGCCACTTGGCAGGGGGGCTTTGGCCGCCGCCCTTCCCTGCAGAGCAGTTGCCACCCCCATAAAACGGGACCAGCTGCGTGTGCTGGCCCTGCTCCCTTGCCTTTCTGCAGGGATCGGATAGACGTAAGGGGGTTGATGTGCTGGAAAGCTCCCAAGAGGCAGGAAACAGTGATGACAGTGGCTTTGAGGGTAGGGGCATAGTTGTCCTTGTCCCCCCACCCTGGCCCGGGACTGTGATGTGTCCTTCTGCCCATTCCCCTGCCATCCGCTGTCTCTTGCACTCTCCTGGCCCCATAAAACTTGGTCTCCCAGAGAGGGCTGATGTTCAGTGTGGAAGACGTGCAGAAGGGTGGGCACCAGCAGCCCCCTTAACCTCTGCTGGCCGTTACCCGTACAGGTCACATTCCAGGCTGTCCAGGCAGCTCCTCTGTATCCTGTACCCCAGAGTGGCCCCATGCACCCCCGTGTGCCTTAGAGGGCTTGGCACCTTCAGTGAGCCATTGGGCCCTGTCTTTGCAACAAGTCAATATCAGGCCCAAAAAATGAAAAGGGAAGATTCTTCATTCAATGAGACTTACGAGACTGAGTAACTGCCCTGCTCAGCTCTGCTGTTACGGGACGGTTCCGGAGACTGGGTGGCTTACCATCAGCATTTATTTCTCATAGTTCTGGAGGCTGGAAGTCCAAGATCAAGGTGCCAGCATGGTCCGTTTTTGGTGAGAGCCGTCTTCTGGGTTGCACATGGCTGACTTCTTACTGTGTCTTCACATGGTGAGAAGAGACCCAACCAGCTCTCTGGCCTTTTAGAAGGGCACTACTGCCTTGGCTGGCGTAGCTCAGTGGATTGAGCGTGGGCTGGGAACCAAAGCATTGCAGGTTTGATTCCCAGTCAGGGCACATGCCTGGGTTGCAGGCCACGGCCCCCAGCAACCACACATTGATGTTTCTCTCTCTCTCTCTCTCTTTCTCCCTCCTTTCCTTCTCTAAAAATAAATAAATAAAATCTTTAAAAAATCTAAAAAAGCAAAGAAGGGCACTACTCCCATTCATGAAGGCCCCACCCTCATAACCTGATCACCTCTCAAAGGCCTCGCCTCCTAACACCATCCCACTGGGTGTGAGGATTCAACATGTGCATTTGGAGGAGACACATTCAGTCCCTGACAGTCATCAGATATCATTTGTAGCTCTTGATTGGCTTCTGGCCTGAACAAAGGTCTGTTATAGGCATTTGGGTGGGGACAGCTGGGTTATGTTTATGTGACTGCCTATTAGCTGATATGAGGAAACTACTGGAGATTTGATGAGATGTGATCATCTTACGGTGTGCTAGACACCTAGCTAAGCCCCTCCTGGATGGCAGGCAGAGGGAGAAACAGTCAGATGTTCATTTCTGGTACCACATTTCGAGATACTTTGTTACACAGCAATAGGTAGATACACTGTGTGTATGCAGAGTCTTCCCTTTTGGGGTTGCATATTGTACTAGTCAGGGGTGAAGTGTCGTGATAGAATAAGTTACTTCTTACATTTTAAAAACCATTAACGAATGGCTGGCTAGATGAACTCTCATACCTGCTTCTACATTCAACTTGTTGCAATATTATGTGTCATGTAGCCTCTGCAAAATTCTGCCGTGCACTCATAAGAGAATGAAAATGGGAAGGGTAAATAATTTAAGATTATTATAAAAATATTTTGACGGCATAGAACTTCATAAAAGGTCTTGGGGACCCCCAAGGTGCCCTCAGATCCCACTTTGAGGACCACTGCTCTAGATCAACAGTTGGCTTTTAAATGATTCTGGGAAACAGAGACAGGATGAGATGAGGCAAATATGGCTCAATAGGAACGCTTGTTGGGTCGATCAGGGCTCTTCACTGGGCTCCTCTGCATGATGTTCTGTGCACTTGAAAATGTTTATGATAAGAAGTTCTTTGTTTTAAAGATTTTATTTATTTATTTTTTAGAGAGGGAAGGGAGAGCGAAAGAGGGAGAGAGAGAAACATCCATGTGCGGTTGCTGGGGGTCATGGCCTGCAACCCAGGCATGTGCCCCGACTGGGAATCGCATCTGCGACACTTTGGTTCGCAGCCCGCGCTCCATCCACTGAGCTACGCCAGCCGGGGCAGGAAGTTTTTTAAAAGGTTAGAAAAGAAATGTAGACTCTTTGGACATGCGGGGGGTTCTGACCAAGGAGGTCTGGGAGTGAGGCGTGTTTTGCCCCCCTGAGCTCCAGGTGCCTTTGTTTGGAGATCATTTGACATCAGTGTGTCCGGTCGGGCGGTCGTTTATTGAACTAGTTCCCTGTTGCGGGACATGTGGCTCACTGAAGCTTTTGTAATCGACGCTAATGGTATTGCATGGATGTAAAAATGCTCAAGAGGAAGTGATCCTCTATGACCCATCAAATGCATAGACTTCAGATGTTGCAAGGGAGCTTCAACACCCAAGCAGCCCTCACATTTTACATATGAGGAAGAGGTGTCCAGAGAAGTCGGGTTACTTGTCCGAGGCCGTGTGACTGGTAGCGGCAGAGCTGGGGAAGCACCTAGGTCCCTGGATGCCTCTACAGAATCTTCTTTTTTCCCTCTAAGCTCAGAGGTCAGGGCCTGGGTGCGGCCC